ATTCAATGAAATTTTCAATCCTCGCTGGCGTACACCAGGGTGTTTACAATAACAGGCTGGTCAAAAATCAGTACTATTACCAGGGCCGGATTTACCTACTTGTCGCCCATGGGCCGCCTGTATTGTGCCGCCCCCACCTCAGTCGTTTTGAGACATAAATAAAAAACCATCAAGTGAACGTACCGGAGGGAAAGGGGTGCATAAGACGCGTTTACTCGTGTTGGACACATTTTTTTGCGAAAGCCCTGTCAACACTACTAGCAAAAGTTCACGGAACTTTGCGCAAAAATGAAGTTCCGTGAACATATCTCTGTGTGGACAATGCCTTGCATTTATAAGAAATGAACGAAAACATTGTGAAATAACAAACATTAATGGGGGTAAATAATTTCAACTTCCGCCTCCGCGCCGCGCTGACTGCAGTGTGTTTGGCGCAATGCGTGAAGTATTCATGCAGTCTTGTAGGCGCTATGCGTTTCACGCCGACCGCTGCTGACCGCACTATGTTCGACGCAATGCAAGAAGTATTCACGCAGTTTTGTAGGCGCTACTAGGTATGTGTTACATGCCGACCGCCGCCGCGCCGAGGGCTTCTTTTTATCTCAAGTCCTCGTCATCATTGCTCTCTGCGCCGCGCTGTCTCTTGTATCACCGAAATACGACAAAATAGAAATTACTACACTCTCAGGAAATAAGAAATTTTGTTGCTTTATCTCGTTTGTAGTTTTTTATTCTGAATCAGATTTTTTTTTATACCTGCATTTAAAAAAAATGCAAAATTTGCCGCCCCCTAAATTTGCCGCTATGGGCCGCGGCTCATGTGGCCACCCCCTAAATCCGGCCCTGACTATTACAGTACTTTTCCAGTGCATTCCCAAGAAATTCAGTGCCTCCTCAAAAGCAAAATTCCGTACTTTTTCAGTACTTCCATTTGACGAGATTCGAAAAATTTCAAAAATTTGAATTTCTCGCTCAGATTGAGACAAAAATGGCACAAAAATTCCAGACCTTCTTGCAGAATTTTCGCCCTTTTTCAGTACTTCCGGATCCCCCTTAAAAATCAGTAGTATTTTCGGACTTGTAGACACCCTATACACCGAAGAAGAAAATACCACCCTCAAAACTTGATTCTAGGTGTTGGTCCTTACTCATGAAATTCCAAGCGCGCGGTCTTTTCATTCGAAGGTGTACGTTACGGCGACCACAATCAACACAAAGGACACACATTTCATTCCATGAATATTCAGTTCGTAAGCTCCAATCGGTTGGATGAGGCAGAGTTTTTAATGGACCACTAGACAAGGTACGAATTTAAGTATTCTGATACATGATTCCTAACCAAAATTTCACGTAAAACACGATTCGCGCAACGAAAATTACTGAAACCAACTTCTAGCAAAGATATTAACGTTTTTATTTCACAACGGTTGCGAGGAATTTGAGCTGCCCGCTCACAAGAAACTCAAAGCTCTACGTGAGTCAAATCGCGCGTTACAGCGGTTTCAGCAAGCTTCTCAATCGAGCAATATTCATTTCCCACCACGTTTTGTTCAAACTACAAGCAATTTGCCATAGCTGAGCCAGAGCGTCAAGATTGAGGTTGCCAGATTTTTATATCGCAGGGACTGTCATGATAGCGTTTAGCGCGCGATGTGAATCGCGTAGAGAATTGAGTTTTAATGAGCGGGTGGTTCGAATTCACGCATCAAGAACCGTGAAATATCTTCGTAAGGAATTGATTTCGGTAATTTTCGTTGTGCGCATCGTGTTTCACGTGAAATTTTCATTTAGAAACATGTATCAGGATGCTGAAATTCGTACCTTGTCTAGTGGTCCATTATTGCAGGTCTGTTTCCTCCTAGGAAGAACGCAATCCAGGACCTTTTCCAGTAACCTTCCATCTGCCATTCTCTGTATGTGATCATACATTATGAGTTGTATTGATTCAGTGGCATGAATAATGCTTTTTTTTACATCCATGATCTCACTTATCCCTTCATTTCAAACCCAATCCTGGATAATTAAAACATCAGATGAAAGTTTGAATTTTTGAAGTCCTCAAAAAGCTTCAATTGAATTTCTGTGTGACTAATTTTTCTGGAATCCATGATCTCACACCCTTTCATTCCGANCTCGCTGGCGTACACCAGGGTGTTTACAATAACAGGCTGGTCAAAAATCAGTACTATTACCAGGGCCGGATTTACCTACTTGTCGCCCATGGGCCGCCTGTATTGTGCCGCCCCCTCCTCAGTCGTTTTGAGACATCAATAAAAAACCATCAAGTGAACGTGCCGGAGGGAAAGGGGTGCATAAGACGCGTTTACTCGTGTTGGACACATTTTTTGCGAAAGCCCTATCAACACTACTAGCAAAAGTTCACGGAACTTTGCGCAAAAATGAAGTTCCGTAAACATATCTCTGCGTGGACAATGCCTTGCATTTATAAGAAATGAACGAAAACATTGTGAAAGAACAAACATTAATGGGGGTAAATAATTTCAACTTCCGCCTCCGCGCCGCGCTGACTGCAGTGTGTTTGGCGCAATGCATGAAGTATTCATGCAGTCTTGTAGGCGCTATGCGTTTCACGCCGACCACTGCTGACCGCACTGTGTTCGACGCAATGCGTGAAGTATTCACGCAGTTTTGTAGGCGCTACTAGGTATGTGTTATATGCCAACTGCCAGCGCGCCGAGGGCTTCTTTTTATCTCAAGTCCTCGTCATCATTGCTCTCTGCGCCGCGCTGTCTCTTGTATCACCGAAATACGACAAAATAGAAATTACTACACTCCCAGGAAATAAGAGATTTTGTTGCTTTATCTCGTTTGTAGTTTTTTATTCTGAATCAGATTTTTTTTTATACCTGCATTTAAAACAATTGCAAAATTTGCCGCCCCCTAAATTTGCCGCTATGGGCCGCGGCCCATGTGGCCACCCCCTAAATCCGGCCCTGCGACTATTATACAGTGCTTTTCCAGTGCATTCCCAAGAAATTCAGTGCCTCCTCAAAAGAAAAATTCAGTACTTTTTCAGTACTTCCATTTGACGAGATTCGAAAAATTTCAAAAATTTGAATTTCTCGCTCAGATTGAGGCAAAAATGGCACAAAAATTCCAGACTTTCTTGCAGAATTTCCGCCCTTTTTCAGTACTTCCGGATCCCCCTTAAAAATCAGTAGTATTTTCGGACTTGTAGACACCCTATACACCGAAGAAGAAGATACAACCCTCAAAACTTGATTCTAGGTGTTGGTCCTTGCTCATGTTCTGCTAGTTGAAATTCCAAGCGCGCGGTCTTTTTATTCGAAGGTGTACGTTACGGCGACCACAATCAATACAAAGGACACACATTTCATTCCATGAATATTCAGTTCGTAAGCTCCAATCGGTTGGTGTTCGGATGAGGCAGAGTTTTTAATGGACCACTAGACAAGGTACGAATTTAAGTATTCTGATACATGTTTCCTGACCAAAATTTCACGTAAAACACGATTCGCGCAACGAAAATTACTGAAACCAACTTCTAGCCAAGATATTAACGTTTTTATTTCACAACGGTTGCGAGAAATTTGAGCTGCCCGCTCACAAGAAACTCAAAGCTCTACGTGAGTCAAATCGCGCGTTACAGCGGTTTCAGCAAGCTTCTCAATCGAGCAATACTCATTTCCCACCACAAGTTGTTCAAACTACAAGCAATTTGCCATAGCTGAGCCAGAGCGTCAAGATTGAGGTTACCAGATGTTTATATCGCAGAGACTGTCATGATGACGTTTATAGTGCGCGATGTGAATCACGTAGAGAATTGAGTTTTAATGAGCGGGTGGTTCAAATTCACGCATCCAGAACCATGAAATATCTTCGTAAGGAATTGATTTCGGTAATTTCCGTTGTGCGCATCGTGTTTCACGTGAAATTTTGATTAAGAAACATGTATCAGGATGCTGAAATTCGTACCTTGTCTAGTAGTCCATTTAGCAATGGATATCTTGGTGGTTCCAGTTGTTCCATTGCGGATTTGCCATAGGACAAAACGTCACCGCTCTGACGTAAGGGCGTATCCCGATTTCCGCATGAGCCCCCAAAAGCTTGCCTTCATATGTGAAACAGGGCTCATGTAGGAATCAACATACGCCCTTACGTCGGAGGAGCGACGAAAAGTGCTAACGAAGGCGGTAAAGGACCCGCTCGGAAGTATCGAGTGCCACTTATTCTGCCATGATAGCGAAGAGAGCAGTAAGTGCAAGAATGAAGTTTTGAGAAAACGGGCTCAGAAGCGTCTGACCGGAATTTTATTGAAAGAAGCCTCTGTTCTTTGTCAAACAGCCACTAATCATCCGAAAGACTCGTAAAAATCGTTGGGATAGCTAAAAATCGACTGATTTTATTTCAGTTACATAAAAAGGGTATTTTTCATTTTCATGGTGGGTTATTGCTAGCAGTAGCGTGGCGTGAATGATCGATTAGCGATATCTCGCCATTTGAAACTATGGTAAAGAATCGATTACTAGGGTGTTCGCTGCGAACACCCTGATAATTGATCTTTTTTCATAGGTTTGAGTGGCATATCTATCGATATATCGCAAAGCACGCCACGCCACTGATTGCTAGGCAGGACAGCCATAGGTGCTACCTTCTGCATACTTTCGTGGTTGCGTTTTGGACACACAACGAACGCATTTCCAGGTTAGAAATTGGCAGAAGAGGGCGACACTATACTCGAGATCACTGTATCCATTGGCTCTCTGGAGGAATATTGTCACTTACTGCTGTCTTGCCTAAAACTATGTCATTTTTGCGCACTTACGGCTTTCTCAAATGTCTCGTTTTGATAGGTACGATTAAGATGAATTCTGCTGTTTTTACGCATTACGTAACGCTTCGCTCTATACCTCCCCACCCCCTGTAACGCCGCGTAACGCTGGCACAGATCTCCCCAACTGGAGCGTTACGTAATTTAGGGACGGCCTCTCAGCGTAAAATATTTAAGGCCAGTATGCTTCGTCTTTGAATGTTTTTATTTTCAAGTAATTTACAAACATCAATGATGAGTTCTATAATTACAAAAAGATCGCAGAATTACATTCAAAGACAAGGAGAGACCTATCAATGGTTTCTTGGCAATGGTGAAATCTTTCACTTTTGGGACATGGACATTTATCTGTTGACCTAGGTACTTACTGGGAAGATTTTTAACAACGGGTTGAGCATTTCGTTCAGCAGACAAACCGAAATTTGGTAAACTTGTTTGGCATGTTGCGTCATCCGAAGCTCATCAGTTTTCCACTGGGAGGGTCAATAACCAATACCAAGATGATGACTGTTAATGAATGTCCATACAAAAATGTTGAATTTCCCAAAACTGAGAGTTTCCACCTGTCACCAAGAAGTTAGTAAAGTTCGATCTCTCCTTGTGATTACATTATACATTAAAAAAAAAACAACAAAATTTCAGAAGAGGCGGATCCAGCAATTTGACAACATTGGATTGTCTCTATTTAAACCTATGCTAAATAATCGATTCTTGTCGGAGTACCTGCCCCCTAGAGGAATCGATGCATTTCCATAGGTTTAAATGGAGGAAATCCGGTGTTGCCAAAATGCTGGATCCGCCATGATATAATTGCGCACTACTTTACTGGAGGCAATATTCCTTCTACGGTGTTGTAAGTGGCAAGAATTCTTTTGTATTTCGGCAGAGATCGAAAATATTCGATAGGATGTTAATTGCGTTAGTACGTAATCTTGTCACAGCTTTTATATTTAAGGAACCCTAATTCAAATCCGCCATGGGATCCGCCAATGAGTATCAGACAAATCCAATTCACTTAGTCGGGGATTTTGTAAATTGCAAAACTAAACAAATCCTGAACTGGTTTGATCAGAGCCATCTTGACTATACATACCGGCTCGGTTTGATTGGAATGAACGTACTCTTTAGAAAACTTAAAGACAGAGGGTGGCAGCGGCTTCAGGCCAAAATCCATAGTGATGGGAAGATACCCTAAAGTAAGGGAATCGGACTTCACACGAAGTTCGATACTTTCAAAAATGATCTTCGGTGCCGAATCGAGGGGGAGAACCTCGCCGCAAGAGTCGAACGTCTCATCCCCACAGGCCACTACACCACAAACACCCACACTTTCATTCCTAACGTCGCCAAATGGTCTGAGACCATTGAACGAAACCATACGATAACGCGGGGTCGAATTGCCGAGTGGCAAATCCACTCTCCATTTGACACTGATGGATGAAATGAATCCAGGTAAATCATTTTTATGATACGAATAGATTATCGATGATGGGTCTAACGAATCGGGCTCTAATAATTCCGATGACATACTAGAGAGGCTGGGGTCTTTCTTCAGGAGTAGGTCGCCGAAATATTCCGATTTGATGTACTGTCTCTGACGAGGGGAATCTATTCTGCCAACTTGCTCTGTTTTTCCGATATTGCTATGGGCAGAAGAATAAGAGAAGTATGAACATTTCGTTTGCGCGTGCTTTGTCGGTTTAATTGGCACTTGGGCTGTGAGCAGTACACTGTCTTCAGTGAGAGGCACTGTGACTGCCAGGGGTCCACCACTGCCGTTGTAGATGCCACTTCCGCCATTTCCGGTTGCCGGGTTGCGAATTCCCGAGGCCAGAAGATTTACATTCATTGAGTGAGCCCATCCTGCCTCTACGCTAGTTGCTGGCACAAGAAATAAAATGATGATTAAAAACTTAAAAGTAATGTGCATGTACCTACATTAACATGGGCGTAAATCACATCTGAATGAAATTGAATTTTGAAACAGGCACTATTATAAGCAGTACATGATGGAGACGTTGCATGTGTGAGGAATTTACGATTTGACTATTGATTCTTATGTAAAAGTTCGCGAGAAACAAGATGGTGCCGCTGGTTTTCTCTGAAATCAACTCCCAAGCTAAAAAATAGCTCTCAAGATGAGGCCAAAATGGAGGGGATATCCCACGCTATCCTAAGAGTCCACCTCTACATCAAGACAAACTCTCCATGCAAAGATAGGGAGCAAATACATTAGCAGGGTTGCCGTGTTTTCAGTTTTGGAGTCCCCAAATAAAGTGGCAGCCCTGTCAGTGTATTTGCTCCCTATCTTTGCATGGAGAGTTTGTCTAGATGTAGAGGTGGACTCTCAGGATAGCGTGGGATATCCCCTCCATTTTGGCCTCGACTTGAGAGCTTTTTTTGAGTTTGGGAGTTGATTTCAGAGAAAACCAGTGGAACCATCGTGTTTCTCGCGAACTTATACATAAGAATCAATAGTCAAATCGCAAATTCCTCACACATGCAACATCTCCATTGGATAGAATGAGAAAAAAATTGTAAGCGTATTTAAATATTTGCAACAGATAGATTTGACTTGCAACTTTAAGAAACAGTTAAAAACTAAGATTATTTTAAAAAAACTGAATTTTACCAGTCTTCATCATTCATTCGAGATCAACAATTTTCAACAAAAAGACTCTAAAGGAATTCCATGATAAGAAGGTAACAATGCATTTAAAATACCTGTAAGGAACGGAAGTTCAGAGAACCATGCCGACGAAAAAATGATATCTGACACTCCTTTTTCAGTGATAAGTCGTTGTGCGGGATTGCCGAACAGTATGTCGAAACAAATCATCATGCCAAACGTTACATTAAAGTCCGTCTCAAAAGTGCTCAGATTCGCCTCTTTTTCAGCACTCACAGCTTCTCCGTAAAGATTATACTTCCGATACCTGCAATTAGCAGGCATGAGAGAAACATTATAGACGTTAAAAAAGTGACCCTAGCAAAAATATTGATCCAAAATGTGAGGATTATGGTATTCAAAGCAGAAGACAACATCAAAGAACTCCACGATGACGTCATTTACGGGTGAATTGAAGACATCTTCGACATGTGCATTGTGCCTCCATGACGTCATCAACGCGTGTCGGAAGCATCATCGCAGGTTTCTCGAAGACGATTTAACAGGATGTATAGTTTTGTTTCATCTGGGAAATCCTGATTTTTCCTGATTTTTGACTGCTAAATCCTGATTTCATAATTTTTCCAAATCCTGATTTTTTGCGGAGAAAAATTGGGAGCAAAATTGGCGAATTTAACTTCACAAAAATAGCTCGATAAAAAATCCGATCGGACGGCAGACTTTTCTCGAATCCTGATTTTACGACCGATTTTTCCTCAAATCCTGATAAAATCGGGATTAAATCCTGACTGGCCTCAAATCCTGATGGAATCAGAAAAATCGGGAAAATTCTGATGCTAGACACCCTGTTTAACTCGAAAACAGTCGAATGAAATCTAAAAGCAACGAGGTATTCGGTGCCTAACAATTCAATCCGGGCGCAGGGACCAGTGGTGATTTCGCAAGTTGGCAACACTGGTTTCTCTCCATTTAAATCCATTAAAACTGTCGATTTTAGGTGAGACAGGCTGCCTCCCCAAGAATCGATTGTTTTACATGCATTTAAATGGAGGAAAAACAGTTTTGCCAACTTTCAAGATCGTCACTAAGGACAGGATTGCCACAAAATTTAGAAAATGATATTCACTAACATTTCCCTGGTTTTCCTGACACATTTTGGTGGAATTCCCTGACAATTGAAGATACGACGGATGGTTAAGAAGGCAAAATTGAAAATAGTTTTCAGGCAAAATTTGTTGCTCAAAACCTCAAACCCATTCTAGAGAGCAAATGAAGGTGATTTAACAAATTTTCCCTGATATATTCCAGTAGCGAGGCGTGAATTGCGATACATAGATTGATATGTAATTTAAACCTATGGCAAAGAATCGACTATTAAGGTGTTCGCTGCGAAAACCCTGTTCATTGATCCTTTTCCATAGGTTTACATGGCATAACAATCGATACATCGCAATGCACGCCACGCAACTGATATATTCGTCATTTTCCCTGACATTTCCCAGTTTTCCCTGACTGTGGCAACCCTGCACTATGGTCCAAAACTCAAAAATAGGAAGAAACAAGTCGGATAATGACTGAAAGATCCCGAAAGTTTCGTAACTGATGTTTTTTTGAGTCTCTAATTTCGAATTTGTTGTCAAATTGCCTACATTTTAATACCCTGACCTATTAATTGTGGGCAAGTTTATGGCACGTTACGGCACGGCGGCGTGCTGCTAGCGCGAAACGCGCACTGACGCCTACAAACCTAAAGGGCTACGTCACGCATTGCGCAATGCATGAAGTATCCGTTTAGGTTTGTAGGCGTCAGTGTGCGCATTTCGAGCTGGCAGCGGCAGGTGGCAGCACGCCGCGCCGCGCCGCGCCGCGCTGTAAGGACGTAGGCAATCACTTTTCGCGGCTGGTCGATTTATACCATACCAAAATAAAAATAAAATAAATAAACAATGAAAAAATCAAGTAATCTATACAAAAATAAAATAAAACAAACTTGCAGCTACCTGGATATGATGCAGCCATGTCGATTGAACACAATGTTGGAATTGTAAAAGATTAGTTGCTCGGGTGGGCAGTCAGTTTCAGTTGAACAATTTACTTTCTCTACTAAATTGGCCACGACATAAATGCTGCTTTCCTTGGCAGCGTCGGAGAGGACTTTCAAAACCTACGGGAACATGCATGAATGAATCAGTTCAATTCTTGCTGTACTCGATCAGCTTAAAAGCTGAAACCTACGCCGTGGAATATTTTAATATTCCGGTTGAGATTTTCGATTTTCCCTCATTTTAAGCTATGGTATAAAGAATCGATTATTATCAAGGTGTTCGTTGCTAACACTTCGCACCTATCCTTTTCCATGGCAGATATATCGCTTTATCGCTAAGTACGCCACGCCATTGATGTGAAAGTTTTCAACACGGAAAAAACGAGTTTAGGGCTGGTACCTGCGCCGAAGGTCCCAGCCCTAACCGGGTAGGTAAAACTGCTTCACCTCCACCGCCATAGGAGCAGGTCCGGCGCGCGTAGAGCCCAAATCTACCTGCTCCAGGGTTCAGCCCTACCTGGTAAGAACTAGACCCTGTCCAGGTAGGGCTGGGCCTTACCCGCGCAGGGCCTGCCCCTGTGGCGGTGGAGGTGAAGCAATTCTAGGGCCCAGCCCTAATCTCGTTTTTTCAGTGAACCGTATTAAGTTTGTATAGGCAAGTTTCGAAAATAAACAAGATATAGCGCCTATCATTCCAATGTGTAAGATGACGAACAAAATTGGACAAAAATAAGTAAGAGATACGTTTTATGCTTGAAAAAATGTTTAAAGGTGATTCGATAGACGCTATATTTTATTTCAGAACGACATACGATATATAGCATCAATTAGTTCCATTTTTTCAGCAATTGTCATTTTTCTCGAATTTTGAGATCGCAATTCTGTTGACAGGAGTTTAAAGAATTCACTTACCAATTTTGACAAACAAAGTCAACGTAATAAAGAAGTGTTTTTGGGAGGAAAAATATCGCATTCGTTACTGATATCGAAACTGCACTCGCATGCGATATTTTCTCTCTCTAAAAAAACAACGCCGATATTACGTTGAATTTGTTTGTCAAAATTGGTAAGTGAGTGCTTTAGCCTCCTGGCAACAGAATTGCGATCTCAAAATTCGAGGAAAATGACGAGTAGCTGAAAAAATGAGCCAATCAATGCGATACATTGCATGTCGTTTTGACACAAAATATGGCGTCCGTCGAATCCCGTAACTGTCATAGAACGGAATTTCCATTTTTTCAGCGCCGGGCAGTTTTCGAAGCAGATGTTGTCGATGAAACCAAAGTAGATACCTCTTGATCAGGGGTGAAAGTATGTCCTTTTGACTCGAAAGGTTCAACAGGTGAAGGAATTTCAATGGCCACATCAATTGACTTAAACTTCGGCCTGACTGTGCCTGCTTCACCGAGCATACCAGTGATACCTGTTAGCCCACACTCAGGGAAAACAATAATCTCAGCGTCCTGAAACAAAATTGAACAATCTATGTAATTTATTTAGAGGCCATTCATAAATGTATGTAACCAGGGTACGAGGGCTGTCCCAAAAGAAACCGGACTTTTGTCATAGAAGGCGAACCGAGCGTCGTAATGAAGCTTTCTTGAGCTTGTTTGAAAGCTGATAAGCTACTGAAGATGCTGGTTTTTACAGAATGCAAAAATTCGTCTTGGTAAGGAAAATACACGCTTTGGAATAAAGGAAAGTCAAACTCGAGTTGCGATTTTTGTCTTTATTTCAAGAAAAATTTAGATACAACTTAAAAAAAACCCAGGTTTTAAGTTAAGAACTTCGTTGCTCTCTTATTCAAATGCTTAAAAATAAGTAAATTAACATTTTAAGCAGCTTACCAAGTCATCACCTATCCCCTTCAAAATACTCGCCAGCTTTGTCGATGCATTTTTGCCACCGTTTCTTCAATTGGGAGAAACACTGTTGGAAATCCTCAGATTTGAATGATCGCAATTCCTACAATGTGTTCTCTTGGATTTCCGGAATGGTTTGAAAACGTCGACCTTTCAAGGTAGATTTAAGTCGTGGAAATAAGAAAAAATCACACGGAGCCAGGTCAGGTCACCTTGAAGGAATTGCGATCATTCAAACCTGAGAATTTCCAACAGTGTTTCTCCCAGTTGAAGAATCGGTGGAAAAAAATGCATCGACAAAGCTGGCAAGTATTTTGAAGGGGATAGGTGATGACTTGGTAAGCTGCTTAAAATGTTAATTTACTTATTTTTAAGCATTTGAAAAAGAGAGCGACGAATTTTTAACTTAACACCTGGGTTTTTTTTAAGTTGTATCTAAATTTTTCTTGAAATAAAGACAAAAATCGCAACTCGAGTTTGACTTTCCTTTATTCCAAAGCGTGTAGTTTCCTTATCAATACGAATTTTTGCATTCTGTAAAAACAAGCATCCTCAGTAACTTATCAGCTTTCAAACAAGCCCAAGAAAACTTCATTACGACGCTCGGTTCGCCTTCTATGACAAAAGTCCGGTTTCTTTTGGGACAGCCCTCGTATATAGTTTTTTTTTTCATTTTGAGAAATCCTGATTTACCCTGATTTTTGAATGCTAAATCTTGATTTCATAATTTCTCCACATCCTGACTAAATCCTGATTTTTGGCGGAGAGAAATTGGCGAAAGTAACTTCACAAATATAGCTCGATAAACACATCCGAACGATCCTGATTTTACGACCGATGTTTCCTTAAACCCTGATGAAAACGGGATTAAATCCTGATAGAATCGGGAAAATCGAGAAAATACTGATGCTAGACACCCTGGTGACGCTCTAAGGGGAGAAGGTTTAAGAAAGGGTGTGATTTAACGGCATGCAAAAAAAAAAAAAAAGTCTAAATTCACGCAAATATTATAACTTTTTCACGGTATCAACAACTAATCGATTATCGATATACTCATTGCGATCGCATACATCACTTTAATGAAAAATAAATCCGATTGACGCACGCCCGTCATCCATGGGACAAAAAAAGGAAACTGGGAAACAGGAATAGATTAGAGTCCCTTTATACTGAGAGTCAAGACAATGTGAATCCATTTCTGATTGGCTCCCGTGTTTTAGGCCTCCACAGTGTCACAAACGGGACTAAAGATTACATTTTCACCGATTGCAAAGATTATAATCTGGAATGGACCAGGGAATTACGGGTTCGGCAAGGAACACACGGAATGAGAGAAGGAACGGAGAAAGGAATTTAAGAATGGGCCGATCAAAGATTACAAAGAACGTTCAATTTCTGTAATCTTTATTCCCGTTTGTGACTCCATGAGGGGTGTTGTCTTGACTCTCAGTATAAAGGGACTCTAGAATAGATCACTTACTAATTTTTTGGCTTCCTTGATGAACGATACATGTTCGGCCGCATTGGCGAGCATATATTCTGCAACGGTGAAATTATCGTCCCACGGGCGAGGGTGATAATCAACAACCGCAGCCACGTACGTTTCGTCGTGTTCCATCTCACCGGGAAAGCTCTCTCTTCGGATGTAGATCACAGCCTGTAACGTAAATCCCACGTGTTTAATGGACGTATTTACGTGAAATGGAACTATGTGCACGTGGAAAGACGGGATGTGCCCGTTAGCGCTCGTGCCATAAGAATGAATGGAACTTTAAAAGCGCCAGTGACGTCAGCGCCACTCGCTTCAACCCATAGGATCGCTAAGGGTGATTCGATGGATGCCATATTTTGTGTCAGAACGGCATGCGATACGTCGCATCAATTGGTTCCATAGAGTACATAGAGTCTGACACCGCACTCACACGCTGAATGTGGGAGCTGAATGTGGCTTGAATGTGGAAGTCATCGGCCCGATGCCTGAATTTTGCGCGTGACGCGCAAAATTCAGCAACGATTCTCAGCAACCATCGGACCAATTTTGAATTTTTCTGAACTATTCGAGTAGATTTGATACACATCTGGATTAAAATAACTCGAATTTGCTAAATTTCAGCCGTTGGGCGATGACTGTTGACTTCCACATTCAGGTGCTAAATTCAGCGTCTGATTGCGGCAGTAATGTAAATGGAAGAGCTCGCGCCATGTTCTGCTCGACGAATTCCGAGCCCGGTGTGCGCCGAGTTCGGGTCACTTTTTCGATACATTTTCGATCCAAAATGGCGGTGTGGAATACGTGGTGATTCCTATCTCCTTTGTTGTTGCTGTTGTTGTTGTTGTTGTTGTTGTTGTTGTTGTTGTTGTTGTTGTTGTTGTTGTTGTCATCGGATAGCCGGGTACCCGTGTATCGCAAACAATCGATTATGTATCGAAAAAGTGACCCGGCGTCACACATGAGTCTCGGAATTCGGGACATGGAAAATGCTTAAAAGTGGCGCCAGCTCTCCAACTTACATTACGACTCTATGTACTCTATGATTGGTTACATTTTTTCAGCTACTCGTCATTTTTCTCCAATTTTGAAATCGCAATTCTGTTTTCAGGAGACTAAAGCACTTACCCATTTTAACAAAGAAATTCAACGTAATAAAGGCGTGATTTTTTCAGAGTTAAAACATCGCATTCGATACTGATATCGAAACTGCAATCGAATGCGATATTTTCTCTCTAAAAAAACCGCGCCTTTAGTACGTTGAATTTCTTTGTTAATATTCGTAAGTGAGTGCTTTAGTCTCCTGACAACAGAATTGCGATCTCAAAATTGGAGAAAAATGACGAGTAGCTGAAAAAATGGAACCAATTGATGCGATATATCGCATGCCGTTCCGACACAAAATATGACGTCCATCGAATCACCTTAATGTTCCCTGTGTCTTCTTTGCCTATAGCTCTGTCTATCAATTCCAATAATCAGCTTGTAGAACCATTGAGAAATTAGGAGAGGAAGTTTATGACTTAAATTCGTAACTTTGAAAACTGTGAATACTTACGACAGCGATGCCTATGCCAACAAGCAGGGCGAGAAACAGTATCACTTTCATTTTCACCGAAATAAAAATAAATTGTTCATATTACAGGAAAAATTAAGATCAGATGACTATATTTACGCCCAATACTTAATCCTAGATGGAGGAAATTGAGGTAACTAATAGAGCATTCATCTGTCATCTTTTTCAGACCGTCATAAAAAGTAGATAATGACCCATAAATTGGTCTTATCTCAGAGGACACATAATCCAACTTCTCTGTTCCTGTATCTCGCATCTGTCGCCACCGATGTTATGGTGATTCCTTCAATTGTAAAATGATTGATCGAATTGACGGAATTCGAAATTTGACGCATCATGGAGAGCTGGAAATAGTATCTGAGCTTTATGGCAGGTCATGCGTTATTCGAGGCGCGAATGATAGATTATCGATGTTCAGGCATTTGAAGCTGTGGTAAATAATCGATTATTAAGATATTCGTTGCGAACACCCTGTTTAAATCGATTCTTTTCCATCGGTTTAAATAGCAGACCGGTCGATATATTGCAAGGCACGCCACGCCACTGCTCTACTTGGAATCCTGAAGAAATCCACTGCCTCCATTAATATTTTGAACATTTTGTGCTCATCTGATACAAATTTTCTGGCTCCGTTTTTCTGGGTAAGTTCGATTTGACCTAAGTTTTATACTCTATCATGCACAGATTTTCTGAAAAATTGACCTCCCTCTCAAAAAGCTCGATTTATAAGGAAAATTCCGATTTCCTCAGAGAAAATCGAACTAACACAGAAACACGGAGGTCATTTTCAGAATCAGCGCTAGAAATCTACCCGGAATCAATTGACAAATAATTGGAGAACCGACCCGTGTTGACCAGTGATATCATTACTATGGGCTCGCTGACCTAATTTTTCATTTCCTGTCAGCGGGCTGATAGTTGAAATCGGTAGACAAAGCGATAGACAAAGAAGACAAAAAAGATATGGAGGGATCCTATTGGTGGAGGCGGGTGGTTGCGATAGACAAAGGAGATGGGTACCGTGGCAGCGGCACCCCACGAGAGACCATATAGTTGGTCCATAATTTTCTCCCTTAATCCACAGGGTGTCCCAGGATTAGATACGAATATTGAAGGAGTTTCTTCCTTCGTTTCTTCCTTTGTACTTCTGTTTCTACTGTTGTTGTAATCTTCCCATCATTTAGCGGTGGCTGTTTGTCTACACGACTAAGGCCAATGAACTATACCTAGAGTGCGCAAGCTCTCAAAAAAAAAAAAAAAAAAAAAAAAAAAAAAAAAAAAAAAAAAAGAGTCGATTCTTTGGGTCAAAAAAAGACGTTCAAGTGGTATAAATTTTTTTCCAACAACGCTTTCCATGGGCGCCACGACTCCCCAAAATTGGAGGGAAAAAATCGCCTTTCTGACACTGCGGCACTGTTTATCAACCAATATTAATGGAAATTGGTAAGTGGGAGTAATTTTTAGCGTTCTTTTCATTTTTGACCTCTAAAAAAGGTAAAACTCATTTTGAGGGGGGTTTAGGTGTACCGAACCTAAAAGTGGCCAAAATTAATGTTTCTGGCGACAAAATTGATTTTTGACGGCACCACAAGATTCAACGTTGAAAAATATTGAGCGATTGTCTCTTGCATTTTTACGCTATAACTCATCGTTTTCGAGATAATAGGGACTAAAAGGGGATAATAGGAGCTGATAATAGGGGGATAATGGGGCTCCCACGGAAAGCGTTTTTCGAAAAAAAGTCATACCACAAAAACGTCTCCTTTTGACCCAAAGAATCGACTCCTTCAATATTCGAACTTAATCCTGGGACACCATGTATAACAACCACCCATTTTAACCAATAGAATCGCTCCATACTTCTTATGTCTTCTTGGTCTATCGCTTTGTCTATTAATTTCAACAATCGGCCCGCTGTTCCTTCTACCCTTCAGCGGCGTCGATTTTCACGATTTTTGCGGCCATCGACAGGTGATAGTCCTTAGATAAACCCATAGAGTACATAGAGTCGTAATGTAAGTGGGAGAGCGGGCGCCACTTTTAAGCATTTTCCATGTCCCGAATTCCGAGACTCCTGTGTGACGCCGGGTCACTTTTTCGATACATAATCGATTGTTTGCGATACACGGGTACCCGGCCATCCGATGACAACAACAACAACAACAACAACAACAACAACAACAACAACAACAGAATGAGAAACAACTTAATCAGCCAAAATACACGTAATAAAAGAACAACTTAATTTGGGGAAAAGGCTGCAAATAAAGAAAAAGGAATAAACAAAACCCGGGACGTTTCAAAATAATAACAATTTNTTAATTTATTTTCCGGTTGATAATGAAATTGTTATTATTTTGAAACGTCCCGGGTTTTGTTTATTCCTTTTTCTTTATTTGCAGCCTTTTCCCCAAATTAAGTTGTTCTTTTAACAACAACAACAGAGGAGATGGGGATCACCACGTATTCCACACCGCCATTTTGGATCGAAAATGTATCGAAAAAGCGACCCGAACTCGGCGCACACCGGGCTCGGAATTCGTCGAGCAGAACATGGCGCCAGCTCTCCCGTTTACATTACGACTCTACCCGATATAGATAGATTAACTCACGAGGGGCTGGCTGGAGAGGCGGGGCTCAGAGGGGGGTTAGGTCGCGCGGCGACCAGGGTGCGCAATCCCTAGTACATACATACATACATACATGCATGCATGCATACATACATACATACATACATAACATGTAGAAATACTAGTAATCTGCCGAAATTTTTTCTCTGTGTTGCGTTTTCGCCAAGGCTAAATGTATTGTTAAAACTAAGTTTAACGAACCGAGAAATGTAAGTGCATCTTACCTGCAACACCTTCAACGTTCGTCACAACTACATGGACCGGGGTGAAAATTATTGACAAAGTGATCTGGTTTAAAAAACGAATTTCCCATGTAGGGCTCTCTAGAACTTCTTGTTAGTGCAGGAGATATCTTCCGGTTTAAAGTTTCAATTGCAGCCGCCGTATCTATACCTGGCCTATGACGTTGAGAAGTTTTTCATGATAAGAACTCGAGGGCGGCTGAGTTGCCAGTCTTTCGACTTTCCCTCTCATTTTCAGTATGTTAATCGCAGGGCGACTGGAAAAATAAAAAAGAACTGAAAGTAATTGCAACTGTATATGGAATACGATACTGCAAAACAGTCGAGTGGTAGTGCTATCTTTAAAGCTAGCAAGGTTGAATCGATTAAGATAAATCTCTCAAGGAAATTGTGTAACAACTAAAGAACCTTTAAAAAAGGGTAAGAATTCCGTCAAACCTGAGAGAATTTGTCACAAAATTAGTATGTAGGTATCTGATAAACTTAAAAAAAGAAGCGGGGAAAAAATGAATAATCTCTCGAAAATCACAAAAGGAAAAAAGAAAAGATGCTTTCACTCTGTTTTCCGTTTCAAACCTCAAAAATGTCTCATATCATTTGAGGTCAAGGTTTTGTAAGTGCAACTGTATGCAGGATACTATATTGCAAGTCAGTCGAGTGGAGGTGCTATTTTTAAAGCCAGCAAGGTTGAATCGATTAAGATAAATCTCTCCTCTAATAAGCGTTATCGGTCAAGGAAATGCAAGATTATAACACCTTGCGTTGCGCTTTTATTAATTATAGCGTTTTATTATTATGAAGATTAGATGGAACAAGGCGGCAGGGCCACATACATTTAAAATACATTTAGCGATAGGTAAGGACTTACTATTAGTGGCAACTAATAGTGAGTAGTAAGATAATGTTTCTTTCGGACTTATTGTTCGTTTAGAAACAATGGATAATCCGATCATTTCCCTGTGCAGATGAATGTTATATTGTTACATGGATGACGACGAGGATTTATCCTTGCTGCGAAATTTTGATAGTTTAGCCCATCTCTGGAGGAGCCCTGATATACGAGGAGAAACAAGGCTCGGCTCAAATTGAGCACCGAAAATCGAAGTCTTCGATCACAGAGACTGGTCTCTGATTACTGCTAACCGAAATTCGTTTCCTATGAACGAAAACTTAGGTTAAACCTTAACCGAAAAATATCGGTGCTCCATTAAAACCAACTCTCAATGTCTGTAAATGAACGTATTGTGACCCTCACTGTACACGCATTTTAATGATAAAAAGGAACTGTGCAAAAATGCAACCAAATCGAGGTAAAAGCGTGTTCTGAACGCCGCGATTTGCGTAGTTCGGAACACGCTTCTTCAAATTTCTCGCGACTGGGTGCAGTTTTCTAGTCACCATATCTGGAAACAAACGACGACAGCTTGCGGGAACTTCCGTCAACTCGCAATCGACGAAAACCGACGATAGGTGGGTTGCGAAAACATCATTCAATAATACAAATCTTATTTTGATCCCAAAAATCGATTCTGGAAATATTCTCGTTTGACTTCGGGACACCCTGTATATCAAGGAGAAAGGGAAAAACTTACCTCTTCACAGATCCTCTGACGTAAATGCTCTGCGAAGGACGGGTAACACACATGACCACTTTCAACTGCATTCACTAAACGTAAACACGGCAAGTCATTAAATTCAAGAGCACGAATTTACCGGTTCAATGTACGGCGCGGCGCGAAGGACAGTATGATCAGTGGCAAGACATGAACGATCGATTATCGATATATCCCCGTTTGGGGCTCGGTGTTCGTTGCGAACACCCTGTTTATCGATCCTTTTTCATTGGTTAATACGGCAGAGCAGTCGATATATCGCAAAGCACGCCACGCCACTGAGCACGATAACGTGATACCCGGATGCTGCTTTTCGAGGCGGCTGAGATTGACACACGCGAACTGATAAAACCAGTGGCGTGGCGTGCTCTGCGATATATCGATTTATCTGCCATTAAAACCTAGGAAAAGAATCGATAAACAGAGTGTTCGCAACGAACACCTTAATAATCGATTCTTCACCATAGCTTCAAATGGGGAAATATCGATAATCGATCCGTCACGCCTCGCCGCTGGCTAAAATACTCACAACACTCACAATCGTTAATCGGTGCGTATTTGAGTCATTGGAAATATTTCCACGGATAATAGCCCCAGCTGCGCACCCGCACACATCTCTGATCTGAAGTTGGTGAGCAGGGGTGCAAATTGCGGAGGCTGAGAGGTTTTTGTGTTTCTTAGATTTCTCAGTTTTCAGATTTTCACTTCTGGCGGGATACTGTGACTTTTGCACACATTCTAAAATTAATAAGAAATGCAACAAAATTTTGATTGGCGCGCGGTGTTGACTGTTGACCTTGCGAAAACCTAGCGCGTTGCAAAAAATTGCAGAAGCACAGCATAATGGACCACTAGACAAGGTACAAATTTCAGCATTCTGATACATGTTTCTTAACCAAAATTTCACGTAAAATGCGATGCACCCAGGAAAAATTACCGAAATTAACTCCTTACGAAGATATTTAATGAATCTTGATGCGTGAATTCAAACCACCTGCTCAAGAAAACTCAATGCTCTACGTGATTCACATCGCGCGCTAAACGTTTATCATGATAGTCTCTGCGATATAAAAATCTGAAAACCTCAATCTTGACGGTTTGGCTCAGCTACAGCAAATTTCTTGTGGTTTGAACACATGATGGGAAATGAACATTGCTCGATTGAGCGAAGCTTGCTGAAACCGTTGTAGTGCGCGATTTGACTCAAGTAGAGCTTTGAGTTTCTTGTGAGCGGGCAGTGCAAATTCCTCGTAACCAATGTGAAATAAAAACGTTAATATCTTCGTTAGGAGTTGGTTCCAGTAATTTTCGTTGCACGAATCGTGTTCTACGTGAAATTCTGATAAGAAACATGTATCGGATTGCTTAAATTCGTAACTTGTCTAGTGGTCCATTGAGGAGTTCGTTGGAAGAAGGGTGTATAAAACTTGCATGCTGCTGAGATTGTGCGACTTTGTATACAATTTACTGCGAACCAAGTTACACATACATGATAACTATTCTCACAGATTAATAAATCAAAACAAGAGATTTTTTCCAAACGAAAATCCTAGCAGGGCTTTCAAACTGTTCAACAGCGAACGATTCACTAAAGATGCACAAATCTTGGCAGCATTGCAAGTCTTATTCACTCTTGTTCCAAAGGACTCCTCAATTCACACCCCTGTTTTGTGAGATTTTCTTGAGAACTTGGCATCCAGACATCTATCCGCCTTTTACCAAAGTTATCTCTTCCGTCGCCATAATAGCAACAACATTAGCATGAACATTCTTGATAAGCGGTGGCATATAGAATCACGGAGGAGTATTTCTGACGGAAGCGAAGTCCTGCCGTGATATCGAAAAGAGCAGCAAGTGTCAAATGTTCGAAAGCGAGTTTCCTTCAAAATGTCTGATCTCTTTCAGCTGAAATCACTGAAATAGCTAAAACAGCAAAATTCATTCAATGGACCACTAGACAAGGTACGAATTTAAGCAAACTGAAACATGTCTCTTAACCAGAATTTCACGTAAAACACGATTAGCGCAAAGAATATTACTGAAACTAACTCCTAACGAAGATATCAACGTTTTTATTTCACAACGGTTACGAGGAATTTGAACTGCCCTCTCACAAGAAACTCAGAGCTCTACGTGAGTCAAATCGCGCACTACAAAGGTTTCAGCAAGCATCTCAATCGAGCAATGTTCATTTCCCACCATGTGATGTTCAAACTATAAGCAATTTGCTATATAGCTAAGCCAAAGCGTCAAAATAGAGGTTGCCAGATTTTTAAATCGCAGATACTGTCATGATAACGTTTAGCGCACGATGTGAATCACGTAGAGCATTGAGTTTTCATGAGCGGGTGGTTTGAATTTACGCATCAAGAATCATTAAATATCTTCGTAAGGAGTTGATTTCAGTAATTTTCGTTGTGCGCATCGTGTTTTACGTGAAATTTTGGTTAAGAAACATGTATCAGAATGCTTAAATTCGTACCTTGTCTAGTGGTCCATTATATGAGAACGAGATACATAAGAAAGCCGCAAGTGCGCAAAAAATGGCGTAGTTTCAGGCAAAACAGCCGTAAGTGACACTAATCCTCCAGAGAGTCAGGAGAGCGGTGCTTTCGAGTAAAGTGCCGCCCTCTTCTTCCAATTTCTGACCTGAAAATGTGTTCGTTGCCTGTCCAAAACTCAACCACGAAAGCGTGCAGAAGAAAGCTTATACGCTGCCGTGCTAAGGAAAAACGTCGTATGAACCTTCAGGCGCTGCCAAATTTCCTTTGATAAAACGTGGCTTTCCTGGTAAACTTATGAATATTTTCCTCCCAATTTTTCAGATAATTTTGTTCACAATTTCACCTGAAAGCCCTGAAAATTTCAAAGAAAGACATTCATATCTTTCCTCAAAAATAAACATTTTGAGGAGGGAAATATGGCGACCCTCGAATGTTCATACGGCGTTTCTCCTTAGCACGGCAGTACGGCAGTCTTGTCTCACACTGGCCTAACATGAAAATGGAAAATACCCTCATTATGTAGTTGAAATAAAATCGGTCGATTTTTAATAATCAAAACGATTTCTCAGTAGGAGTCTTTTGGATGATTCATGGCAATTTGACAAAGAACGGAGGCTTCTTTCGATTAAATTTTCCGCTCGGACGCTACTGAGCCCGTTTCCTCAATTTTGCAATTTTGCAATTTTTTTAAATATAGGTATGGAAAAAAATTACCAACAAGAAAAGGCGACAGAATCTCTTTTTCTTGAGAGTATAGTAATAAAATTCTAATTCTGTCGTCTTTCGGTGATACAAGAGACTGCACCTTTAATTAGTCGAGTTAAGAGAGAAACCAAACACGCAATTTGGGCTGAAGCGGCGCGGCGCAGAGAGCAATGATGACGAGGACTTGAGATGTAAAGGAGAAGCCCTTGGCGCGGCGGTCGGCATGTAACATATATTAGCGCCTACAAGACTTCATGAATACTTCACGCATTCCGTCAAACACAGTGCGGTCAGCGCGAAACGCATAGCGCCAACAAGACTGCACGAATACTTCACGCATTGCGTCAAACAGTGCGGTCAGCGGTGGTTGGCGTGAAACGCATAACACCTACAAGACTGTAGGAATACTTCACGCACTGCGCTGTACACAGTGCGCGGTCAATGCGCGGCGGCGGACATTAAAACTATTAAACCACATTTATGTTTGTTCTTTCATAATTTTTGCGTTCACTTCTTATAAATGGAAAGCCTTGTCCACACAGAGATAGGTTTAGGGAACTTAACTTTCGCGCAAAGTTCCATGAAATTTTGCTAGTAGTGTTGATGGGGCTTTCGCAAAAAATGTATCCAACACGAGTAAACGTGTCTTATGCACCCCTTCCCCTCCGGCACGTTCACTTGATGGTTTTTATAAATGTTTCAAAACGAATAAGAAGGGGGCGGCAAAATAAAGGCGGCCCATGGCCGGCAAGTAGGTAAATCCGACCCTGGACCACAATATTTCATTGGTGGCTTGAAGATTAATCGACTGCACACTGAAAAAAAAGTCTCGGTGTATTTACTAACAAAATGGTAAAATTACGAATTCAGGGTTCTATTAGATCCCAGTTTTTTTCTTGGTAAAATTACCATTTATGGAATTGGTAATTTTACCGAGAAATCTTGGTAAAATTATTGACTTCCTCGGTAATTTTACTGATCCTCGGTAAAAACGCCAATATTTTTTATCGACTGTGGTAGAATTACCGAGATAAAATGGCAAAGTTGCCGGGAATTGATTACCAATAAAAGTGGTATTCTTAACTGAAAAAACAGTAAAAACTAGGGGGCTACGCCCCCTGGCCGCTACGCGGCCCAACCCCGTGAAGGCGCTCCGCGCCATCAATGGGCCGCTTCGCGGCCCTATTTTTACCCTCCTATCAGTGTTAGTTTTATTTTTCCCCTAAAAAATTACGATATGAGGTATACTTTAATTTTAAACTTTACTTAAAATTACTTTAAAATTAAAAGGACGCGTTTTGGAATGACTGATTGATGAAATATTGCAGTAAAACAATGAACAATGATAGTCAGGTAATAATTAAGATTTCATGAGACGGGGATCGATCCCTCATTGAGTTCATTGTGGACGCACTCGACGTCTTAGACGACTCGGCCACCGCTCTACTTGAGGATCACGGCGCGATTCTTGTGGAGATAAGTGTAGAGCTGATGCGCAGGCTTCACAGCTACTGCGCAACCTCCTTGACCATACTGCGCATCCTCCCGCGCATAGCGGTTGCAGCACCGGAGCATTCAGTAAACTCACTCACTTTTATAACGTAATTTTAAAAAAACCTGGGTCCTTTTTCCAAAATCTGATTAGAGCGGGCTCATTTAGGGCCTATTACCTGTCGATTTACGCAAGAATCATGGAAATCGGCCCGGTAGAACGCTCAAACGAACTATGACAAAAAGTATAAATTTACATTGTTTAAATGGGAGAATTCGCAACTTTACCACGTAATATAAAAAAACCTGGGCCACATTTTGAAAATCTGAAAAGAGTTGGCTTATCTAGACACAATTGCCCGTCGATAGCCGCAAAAATCATGAAAATCGGCCCGGTAGAACGCTGGAACTAAGCGTCACCAGTTTCGCAAAATTAGGAGGTCTTGGAGCTTATAGTATAGATACCCGTTTTTAGGTAAGCTTACCAGTCTGCCTTGGTAAAATTACCAATCATTGGTAAAAACAAGTGAGATGGGAAAGGTACCAACGGACCTTGGTAAAAACGCCGAGAATTTTTTTTCAGTGCACAATCGCTATGTTACAGGCAAATACTGCTCTATGAGAATCGATGCGCAGGGGATTACATACTTTCCAGGCTTTATTAAAAAAACACGCGTGATATGAAGGAAAAAATTCCGGACCTTCTTACGAAATTTCCGCACTTTTTAGTACTTCCGGACGGCCCTTGAAAAATCAGCACTATTTCTGGACTTTCCGGAAGTCCCGGACTATTAGACACCCAGCAAATACAATACTAAGAGGGTTAGAGAAACGAGTATACATTCAAGGACCTACAAATCTGCGAGAATCAAGCCGAGGTTGATGATCGTCTTTAAGTCAAGGAATCATATCACACAGAGACATGGACGAAAAACTGGCGACGCACAGTGGATCGAGTCAATTAGAGAGGTCGGACATTATTTGGACTAATATTGCAAATATTTATGTTTATTTCGTCACATTTTAAATTTGAAGGGGCGCTCCTGCAAGAAAATTTCACGAGAAAACCAATACTGCCGTGCTAAGGAGGAACGCCGATGAACATTCGATAGTTGCCTAACCCTCGATGAAATGTTTATTTTTGGGAATATTTTTCCTTAAAATTTGCAGGAGCTTTAGGTGAAATTACGAACAATATTATCTGAAAAACGGGAAGAAAAATATTCATAATTTTACCGGGAAATTCGTGTTTCATCGAAGGAAATTTGGCAACGCTTGAAGTTTCATACGGCGTTCTTCCTCAGCACGGCAGAATAGAATCAATTTCGGAACCCTAAATGTTGTATAAACGGAGTTAAAAGCATTTAAAGTTTCCAAATTTTGTCCGACCTCTCCTACTGGCTCGATCTACTGTGCGACGTGGGCCCTGCTCTACACCTACCTAGAGAGGGAAAACATGCAAACAAATTAAAAAAAATTAAAAAAAAAATAACGAAAAAAAAAAACGTGCAATTTCTTACCTTAATTGAAAGAATGCCCGAAATGAAACAAGGAGCGAGCAAATCTCACATTCTCCTAAACAAAATGAGAAAAAATAAAACTTTATTAGAAAATATTAAGACATGATTCCCAATTTAGGCCATTCAAGACTGCCTACAGAAAAATGCATCTCAGTAAGGAAAAAACCCCTTAATCGGGCCACTAGCAAAGGTTTGAAGCAGAGGCGGATCCAACAATTTGGCAACACCGGATTCCCTCCGCTTAAACCTATGTTATAGTCGATTCTCGTCAGAGCACCTGGCCCTTCAAAGAATCGATACATTTCCATAGGTTTAAATGGAAAAAACAATGTTTGCCAATTTGCAGGCTCCGCCAATGATTTGAAGTGATCCGCTTTTCAACGGTCTCTGGGTTGAATTTAATGGACCGGTAGAAAAGGCAAGAATGAAGATGTTGCATGCGTGAGGGATTTGCGATTTGACTGTTGATTCATAGGTAAAAGTTCGCGAGAAACACGATGGTGCCACTGGTTTTCTCTAAAATCATCTCCCAAGCTCAAAAAAAGCTCTCAAAGTGAGGCTAAAATGGAGGGGATATCCCACGCTACCCTGAGAGTCCACCTCTACATCAAAACAAACTCTCCATGCAAAGCTAGGGAGCAATACGGGGAGGCACATTTGTATTATGGGAATAATTTTGAGAAGCCCTGAATTCCAAGCTCATAGCATGCAAAGATAGGGAGCAAATACATTAGCAGTGATGACGTGTTTTCAGTTTTGGAGTCCCCAAATAAAGTGGCAACCCTGCTAATGTATTTGCTCCCTATCTTTGCATGGAGAGTTTGTTTTGATGTAGAGGTGGACTCTCAGGGTAGGGTGGGATATCCCCTCCATTTTAGCCTCACTTTGAGAGCTTTTTTTGAGCTTGGGAGATGATTTCAGAGAATTAAACCAGTGGCACCATCGTGTTTCTCGCGAACTTTTACAAAAGGATCAATGGTCAAATCGCAAATCCCTCACACACGCACAAGACCAATCCACACAGGTCAGTCATCGCGCATCTTTTTGAAAGCCACTTCCCCGCCCGGCCGTAACTCGGCGGCACTCAAAATGCTACGTCACAATGGGTGCTCCCATAAGAAATACATTGTAGGCACTCAATACTACGTCAATGCGCAGTAGAGTACCAAAACTCATCCGCGGGAATGACTGACCTGTGTGGATTTGTCTTGAACATGCAACATCTCATTGCAACACCATTATTAAATTTTTCTCTGTCGAAATTTCACGATTTGGAACATGTTCCGTTCGCATTGATTGAACAATTTTGCGGGAGAAACTCTTGTGCGAGGGGAAGTTGGACGAGGGCGCTGCGCGGTGGATACGCCTGCCGTGATAGCGAAGAGAGCAGTAAGTGCAAAAATGACTTCTGAGCAAACGGGCTTAGAAGCTTGCGACCGGAAAATTTCATTGAAAGAAGCCTCTGTTCTTTCTCAAATTGTCACTAATCGTCCGAAAGACTCCTAGAAATAGTTTGGATGGTTCAAAATCGACTGATTTTATTTGAATTACACAAGTTGGATATTGTTCATTTTCACGTTAGGCTAGTGTTAGGCAAGACAGCCGTAAGTACTATCATCTGCATGCTTTCGTGGTTGCATTTTGAATACACAACAAACACATTTTCAGGTTAGAAATTGGCAGAAGAGGGCGACACTTTACTTGAAAGCACTGTTTTTATTGGCTCTCTGGGGGAATATTGTCACTTACGGCTGTCTTGCCTAAAACTGCGTCATTTTTTGCGGACTTACGGCTTTCTCACGTGTCTCGTTTTACACAATTAAGATGAATTTCGCTGTTGTAGCTATTTCAGTGAATTCAGCTGAAAGAGATTCGACGAATTTTGAAGGAAGCTCGATTTCGAAAGTTGACATTCACTACTCTCTTCGCTATCACGGCAGACGTGGATTTCATTGGAGAAGCGAGCAGCACCTTCCGGAACGAAAACTCGAGAGCGCCTTAACTCGCGGTGACGATAACTATTTCGACTCCTAGGAGGTGAAATTGTATCACTCCCTTTTGAAGGGGATTTATCTGCCTCTGAACGCTGACTCGTCCACTAGCCACTACAAAAAAACGTCTCTTGGATCCAGGGTCCAGACTCTCAAAAGTTTGACAGGAAAAAATACTCTTAATTCAATCGGAGTTTCGCTTGAATCGAGAGAGGAGCCTCTTGATTTAAGCGGATTTCCTCTTGATTCAAGCAAAGATCTCATTGAATTAGGAGTATTTTATCTTGTCACCTGCTGAAGGGGGGGGGGTGCATAAGACGCGTTTATATACTCGTCATGGGAGCTTTTTTTTTTTGGAATTCCTGTCCACACTGGTTTAAGTTCTCGGCGTTTTGAACGAAAGTTAAGGCGGCTAACTCTTGTACCACCAAAGGCCGACAAAATTAGAAATTTGGTACTATAGTTTTAATACACTCGGGAGATTTTGTCGCCTTTTCTCGTTTGTAATTTTTTCCCCCAAAATAATTTTATTGATACCTGTGTTTAAAAAAATCTCAAAATTTGCCGCCATGGGCCGCGGTCCATGTGTGCCCCCCCCCCCCAAAAAAAAAAAAAATCCGGGCGGCTGAATTTTGGAGGCAATAATTTCAGAGATGAGGGGAGTATCCTTATTGGTTATTAGATTCCAAAACCGAGTGTCTTAATTACAGTGTTTCAGACCCATATCTTAAATATAAAGATACCTAATTTTATCCATGGTGATGAATCAAAATCATTCCTGAAAATTTTCACAGGATAGCTTACTTGTGTACTTATTATTTACACTGGGAAGAAAAGTCGAGAAGGTTTTCAGGGAATGACATTAAATGGTTAACTGTCGACTTGGAGACCAAAGTCGGGAAGAATGTCTACATGCCGTACAGGGGCGTAGCTAGGAAATTTCTCTAGGGGGAGGCCATGGGACCACCTCTCGTGGTGAAGAGAGCGGGGGGAAGGGTGAGGAATGGAGGATACCATTTTACTGGGGGGCCACAAGATTTCTGGGGGGGGCCAGGCCGCCCCCAGGACCCCCCTAGCTACGCCCATGATGTCGTAGTCTTACACAGTTACCTACATGATTTTGGAGTTTCATGGTCGGTGCACTGTATGGTTAGAAAGATGATCATCATGAGACTGAGGCAGGTGACTAGGTACTAAAACCACCAAACAGAAGGTTCAAGGCAACCGGGTGCGCAGATTAGAAAACAATTAAAGAAGATAGACCACTCAATGGATGGTTCATTTCAAAATTAATCCACCGATACAATTTTCTTATTCTTTAGAGCTACTCGCTGGGGCCCATATTATTAGGAACTCATATCGCTGATAAAACCGGCCAGGGGAACTGTGTCGAAATGCCAAGTAAACAGATCAATTTTACCGATCAGCAGTAAGTACATCAAACACAGTACTTAAAGTAAAAAAATCATTTATTCAACTGACATTTTGACCCTGTTACACTGGTCATTTGCATCGGGGATGCTTCGACAACACTCCTGCCAAAAAATTGATGTCATTTTGGTGGATCCTGCTTGGGGTTTGGATTTTTCATTCACATATGGTTGAAAAGAGATGAGATCAGTCACTGTAAGCCCGTATTATAAGATGAAAGTAGCTCTCAGGGAAATGTTAAGGTGCTCAATGCCTCAAGGTTTGTGGTTTGAAAGAGAGCAGTGGAGGTTAGGAGTCGTAGAGTGCGAGGGAGTGCTGTAAAGCGACTTATATGTGTGTAAGTAGCTCTCAACTTCCTCACTTTTGATCGTATGATGCAAGCTTTGAGAAAGTATAAGCGTCAAGCGGTTGATTGTGCATGTGCTTGCCAGACAGCAAGCCCAAGAAAGATTATAGGTTAGTTCATAAGTCAGGCAGATTTGGAATGTAACATGCCAAAAATCATTTGCCGTCAAATTGAAACCAGAGGTAAGCAGCACACGACTGAGTGATCAAGGGGCTCCAGCTATTCTGCTCGCTACCTATTACGTCATCTGTGATGTGAGAGAATGACCGACACTTACTAGCTTTACTTAGACTGATTTCAACAAAACGGGATTCACTACTCAGAAGTTACTGTCAGCCGCACTAAAACCTGCGTTGGCATGTATGATAAATGAATAATTTAGGCCTTGTGAGGGTCACGTTATCCAATGCTCTTGCTTGACAGGTGAGCGGTGGTAAGCCATCGAAATATGATCCTTCACGATGCTTACCAGCAGTGATACTTAGCATTACAAAGGATCGTCATTATCGACGTCATGTAAAATCTCTGTATGTTCTCAGGGAAGTAGAAAATGATACAACCTACCTTGAACTGAAGTTTGGATCAGTTTGTTGTTGAATGGGAATTGAACGGCACTTACGGAAACGGAGGAATCAAGCAAATCCTGGAAGGAACAAAAGACCACGAGATCGTGAAAACCCGAATGAATTAGATAAACTGATACTGATTACTGGCCGATAAGAATGCAAAGGAATTTCGAAAATACACGTTGTGTACACACGACTCTACTCTACGCGTTCGATTGAGCGTTAGGGATGGGCGATTAATCGAAAAAAACCGATTAATCGATTAATCGGAGCAAAAATTAATCGATTAACGTGAACGATTATTGGTATTAGATTAATCGAATAATTCGATTATCGTTGTCGATTAATCGATTTTTGGGCCAGAACGTTCCACGTTGCCGTCAGATTTGTCACAGCTATAATTTAATGCGACTTCTAAACCCAGGTTTCTCAAAACTCGAGTAATATTGCAGCTGACAGTTGTTTATTTTTGAGGATCATGCGCAGTCAACCGTTTTAGGTGTCTGCGCAAGCCGGCACCGTTGTCGATCCGTCGGTCAGTCAATCNGTTAGAGTAGGTATTGGTTAGAGAGTGCTCGAACTGCTCTGAGTTCCTGTCGCGCCACGCAGCCATCTTGCCTGCTCATTCCGAGGGGGTCTTTGCCTGCAAAAAGTAAACATCCTACGCGTTCTGCGTTGTTATTGTTGAGAATGTGCTGAATATGTGCCATGTGATAGTGTGTGACTCAGTATTCTCCCTGCTCCAATTAGGTGTTCAGAAACTTAGAGTCCCTTTACAGAATCTGAATTTTTCCCTCCAAATCTCTCCGCCAATCAGATTGCCGCATTCGAGCTGATTTACCCGCGAAAATTTGAAATACCATCTGGAACATATTTTTGCCGACGACGCGACGACGCGCGACGCGACGCACAGTGGACTGAGCCTGTGGAAGAAGACATGAAATTGACAAAAATTGTAATATTTTACGTTTATCTCGTCACGATTAATTTTAACTTTAAGGGATGTGTTTCGTGGAAAATTTTACGAGAAACCCGATGATACTACTTTCAAATTATCAAAATTTCATATTTATGAAGATATACGCTTTTAAAATTTTTTAAATCATGTCCGACCTCTGCCATTGACTCGATTCACTGTGCGGCGGTGAAATACGGAGTCCGTTTCAGAAATCAGTAGCGGCGCGTAATGGGTGCACATGGGTGCAGTTGCTGTTGCACCCAAAAGATTTTGAGAGATTTTTTCCGCCTTTCTTTCCTTAATTTATTTTTCCGAACTTGCTTTCGTCAGTGAAACAGCAGATTGTTTGTTGAACTTATATCGACGGTCAAAGTCGCCGCGGCAATCGCATATCTCATTTGCGGTGTCTGAAAATCTCCGCCTCCATATTATTTTCTTATAGGTGAACAAATTGATATCATTCCTTCAAGTTTTTGCAGAATTTTCTTCGCACAGAGAAAAAAAATCACGGCAGTTTTAAAGAATTGCCGTTGAGTGGTTTTCCGTTTAAAAAATAAGGTATGACAGGAGGTCTGCGACGTCGCAAACCGAGTTAAGTGATTGCCGACTTATTACACCGTCGCTATACAATTGAATTATGATCCAATTCTGTGCTTCCTCGAGCGTCAATAATAAAATCACGATTTGAGCATTGACAAAGGGAGCTCACAAACTCTTTTCCTGCGGTCCACCTTAATTGCCACGGGCAGCCCGGTAGACAGTGATGTCTGGATCGTAGTGGTGGGGATAGGCACGGTGCGTTTTAAGTCACACATACTAATGTTCTTGGCAATGGCAATTGCGCTTTCAACGTTTGAAAGTGAAATGAGTTTTCTGCAAACTTTTTTTAAACGTTATTAAGTATTTGAGGTAGTGTTCGTCGAATTTCTAGCGATAATGCTGCGATTTTTATGCGATAATCTGGTGGCATTAACTATCAAAAATTGCTTAAAATTGCATTTTAGATGGGCTAAATTTTCAAAATTTTCCAAAGGAGGCCCCCCGCAACCCACTTTGGCCTGGGGACAGGGCATTTCCGGTGCCAATTGTGATTTTCTTAGTTTTGAAAGGGGTCCGAAGGCCTCCTCCAGGAATTTTAAAAAATTATCATCTCAAGAGCAATTTGAGCTGTGCTGACCAAAAAATGATCTATCATCAGTTTCCACGATGAAAGATCTGTCATCACGCACTTAACAGAATCCCTTACATTTTTTAGGCGGCCAAGTAGATTTCTGGGGGGCTAATGTATTTTTTCTCCCTACCTGGGCATGGAGAATTTGACTGGTTACAGAGATGGACTCTCAGCATTGCTTGGGGGGGGGGGGTGTCCCCTTCAAGACAACCCTAAGTTTAAGATTTTTGAAAATGCTCATGAATTTATTTCGGAGAAAATCGGTGGCACCATCGTGTTTCTTGCAAAACTTCATGTAAGAAGATGCACTTAAATCACAAATTTCTAACACATGCAAGAGCTCCATCGTTGGGAACTTTTGATCCAAGTTTGATTATTGTAACTTCGAAGGCACACAATTATTTGGAAAACCGCTGAGCATAAAGGCTACTAGGATTGATTTTAAGAAGTGAATTGTAATTTGAGTTTCTTAAGAATTTAAAAAGGATAAAAAAATAAGAAGAGTCCATTGAAATGATCAGCAATAAGCTTTAGAAAGTGAATAGGAATGCTCCATTAGAGCTCTGAAATAACCTCAAAAGAAAATCCGCATAAAAATATTGAAGGAGGGTTTAAGATCGGGGGAAAAAAAACCAGATCGAAATTTATGACAACAATTTATTATAAATGAATATGCGTGAGCGTGCGTACTTAATCATGTGTGTACAAATACATACATAAATACTTACAAACATAATATGTAAAAACATTGTATCTCATGCGCATGTATGCGAATTCGTAAATAAGGCACTTGCCAACGTGATGAACAAAATTACACGGTATCTGTTTCAAAATAGGAGCATAACAGGTTTTGAAAACTTTTAAAATATGAAAGAGACAAGGGCGATTCTCGTACATTGGTAACAATGTTTTTCCTCCATTTAAACCAATTACAAAAAACTTATTACAGGGAACAAAGCTTACCTACCTTGACAAAAATGAATTTTTTGATATACGTTTAAATAGAAGAGACTCGGTGCTGGCAATTTGCAAGAATTACCAATGGAAGAAATTACCGATTAGTTGCACCAAAAAAAAAAAATGAAACAACGTTTTGATACTTAAATGCACAACTCGGCTAACCAAGTATCACCTTATAGAACGGAGGTTAGCACAGATTGCTCTGTTGAAAATCTCGATCTTTTTCATTCAAACTAAATTTGCTTTCACCACCTGTTAAATAATGAAAATGAGGTGGTAGATAATGCGCTAAAGTAATTTGACGCTCATGGTTGATTGCTAATGCTTGCCAAATGTTGAGAGGTATCTAGTACACTAAACTTCGGATCGAGCAAGCTCATAAGCTCAGATTATCAGAACTAATTTTTGGGAGGACTGACCTTTTTTCTCTTTTTTTTTTGTATTTTTTCTTAGAGGACAAAGCAAACCTGTTTCTATGACTGCAGAGGTTCTGGAGACCAGATACAAGGAAAGATACCAGATTTTTTAAAACAGGCATACAGTTGTTTTATTATTTCTTTTACTCGTAAATATTTAATCCAGTATTTTATTTCAAAATGTTTACTTTATCACGGATAATAAACACAGAATGTCAAATTGAGCTCATCATCGTCTCTGTAACTCCGTATTGTCTAAACTTTCTGTACTTCGGCTGCCACATTCAATCAGTAAATCCAAAAGTTAGTGTGCATTGAAAGTTCTGAACAACCGAAAGCCAACTTTGAAAGAATCACATGTAAAGGCTTGCTTTTGAGAATAGGCAATCTTACTTTTGCAATGCACGGAATCCTAATAACTTAAAATTAGTAAACTAAAACTCTTAAGAAACAAAAAATACATAAACAGATAAAAGCAATTACATCAGATAAATCAAAGAGAAGGAATGTCACATGATATTTTAAGTTCCACAGAGGGTTTGTACATTTAGGCCCAGTTGAAACAAGTTTTAAAAGTCACCATTTTTTATTTCATGTTATCAGCACATAATTAAATGACGATTTTTTTATGATTCTTGAAATTTTGTGTGAATGGTAGAAATTTCATAATGAACCTAGGACCTAGGAGTGCAAAAGGTTCAAAAACTCAGACCATTTGTACCAATTCAGCGTTTTTGCCTCCCGGCTTTCCTATTTATCTTGTATTAGACTCCAAGTCCAGAAAAATAAAATTTGAGCTTTGATACTATGTTTTTTCAAACCTCAGAGCATCATAAAGAAATTTTTTTGGGAGGTAAACAACTGAGCTCTAAAAATAAGAATACCAATGCTGTGAACAGTAGAAGAAATACATTTTGACGGTGAAACTACCAAACCACTTATCTCGGTTTGCGGCATCGCAGACTTCCTGTCATACATTATTTTTTAAATGAAAAACTACTTAACATCCAGTCTGGAAAATTTCCGTGATTTTTCCTCTTTGTGCGGAGAAAATTCCGTGAAAATTTCAAGGAATGATATTGATTTGGTCTACTTCAAATAAATAAAATGTGAGCGTAGATTTTTAAACACCGCAAACGAGATACGTGGTTTGGTAGTTTCACCATCGATTTCTGGAAAAACGCTGAACAAACTACAAGAGAAATGCAGATTGAGAGTGCTCCTGAAAACCACAGCTGAGAAAAGGGTGAATTTGCTTGAATAAAAATGGCACTAGGCAGGTTGCATCAGTAACAATGGAGAAATAATTACGTGTGACATTAGGCACAGAAGTTGCAATTTAAGAGATTAAATTTTGGTCCTTTTCCTAAGATAGCTCTAACATTTTCTCTTGGGCATTTTGTCTGAAAATAAAATGATAGAAAGGTTAGGCTATGCTTGTAACAAGATTTGTTATTTGTGGTCCGATGGACTCATTGAGTGACTACATCATGGTTTCATACCGTGGTTTTGATGATAAACAGACAAAAACTTTGTTGTATTCGCGATCTGGGGGTAAAATGCCACTAGGTGTTTCTTGCAATCAGACATTTTCAAGTTGATTAAGTCATTAATTGGTTTTTGAACCTTCTAAAGAAATAACTGTAATGAAGTATAGCAAATAACTCAAACAGAATTTGGACATGAGGTTATGTTTATTTATTTTCGTTTGAACCATCGCAAATTAATAATGCAATTGTAGCATTGTGTGTGTGTAGCAAATGATTGTTTATGGCAATCCTGCATTTAGAGACCTCACAGAAAAATGCCTGATTCCATGGGAGAAATTGCTACTTATTTGCCCTAATTTTTCAGGATAGTGAGCAAAGAAAAAGAAGATAGGGTCATCGCTTTTGGAAATCACTCAAAACTAGAGATTTGCTATGATTCGCAGATTGCAAGATCGGGCATTTGTCCGTGCATACAAAAAATAATCACCATAAAAAAGTTATACTATTTACAAATTGCGCTTTCGCCCGAGAAAAGGAGAGAGGTAGAAGCTTTAAAAAGATACCCTGTTGAGTTTTTCAATGATTTCCAAGTTGAAAGTATCCTACAGTGAGGCAAAAGACATACTTTGGACACCGAAATATGCAACGGTGAGTAACATTCTCACTTTTTTGGCGAGTTACCAAGTATTAATGATAGCGGCAGATTTTCTTCAAATTTTGTGTGCAAAGTTTTACAATGCCATGGCAACATTTTCATAAGAGACAACCAGAAATTTCCATGGAGGCTCTCTGACTCCATTATCCTCTGTTGTTTTCTTGCGGTTGTGCTAAATGCAATTATGAACGAATGCATTTGAATTATGTATGAAAACTTCTATTACTGGAATATACTACAAGATTGATAACCTGAGACAGGTTTTATTGATGATGACACAATCTCTAATGTAAAAAAAATATCATCAAAAAAGGCAAACACAGCATCATAATTAAAGGCCTCAGTTTCAGTTCAAATTCAGAATTTTTTATGACAGTTTATCTTTACTAAGCAAAACGAAGGATTGGACTGAAGATTTGATAGAATTTCACGATATCTTAGACAAAAATTTGAAGTAGAAGTATCAAACGGTTTTCTCCGAAGTAAAAAATTAACAGTGGATATTCTGCAAAGGTGTAACTAAGAGGTACCTTTCCTTCACCAAGGTATTAAAGTAAGCAACATTTCCTGTGGGAATAAAATTTAGGTTTGAGCAACAACTTAAGCTTGAAGTATTAAAATTAGAAGGTAAGGGCTACATACAGGAAGAAGAAAATAATTCAAGTTTCATGTGACAGTTTCCTCTCTTAAAACTACTCCAGCCAGAGAACTTTGCATTCAAAATTTTAAACGGCAAATATTGTACTTGGTGGTTTTGAACAAAGAAGAAACCTAAAACTGTTTTACTAACGAGAAAATGAGCTGTGAAGGATAAATTCTGAATAACAATTAAGCCCCTTCTTATAAAATTCTAGCTTCAGGCCAGGTAGCTCATTTATGGTTTATGCATTAATGCTTGGAAAAATAAACATAAATCAACAAGATTATGAATTTCCAGAAGTACCGAAACTATGAACCCATCACCTAGTTTGTTAAGTACCTTGGAAATGAATGACATTAAAAACTAAATACAGAGATTTGACGAATAATTAAAGCTTCCTGATAGAAACAACCACACCCTTCGAAAAGAGGATGAAACTGACTTAATTCTACGAAACTGATTTGCTTGGAGTACCACAGTGATTTTATTTCCATGAGACTGAATTAAAACAAAGAAAACTGACATTAAAAGAACTGACATATGATAATGACCAAACACTCAAGACCATTTTAGCTGACAAATTTTTAACAGTATTGCACAAAAATGGATATTGTCACCTTCTGTCCCAAGTATCACAAGCGCTATTCACGCGTAGACGCTAAGTTGCTGAACACCTCAACATTTTTTTTTCAAACTTCTGCATGAGCTTCCATGAATATTTGAAGAATTAATCTTGATAACTAAATAAATATTCAAGTGATTCTGTTCATCAATTTTTCTGTAAAAAATTGGATAAGTTTAAAAACAGTGCCTAAGCACTAATGGGGCTTATGATACTTCAGTCGAGAGGTGACGATTTATCAGGTGGACGGTACAGTTTTTAGTTTGAAAAACAAGGTTAGTACAAAATTTCCTTATTTTATTAACTTTTCATCTTGGTTTTTCTGCTGATTTAAAGCAGTATGAACAAACAATCACATGAAAAATAAATGCACATAGAATAACTTGAGGGGTAGTAAAATTAATTTGTTGAAAGATTTCGTAAAGGTCTAAAACATTTGACATATACTTAGGATATTTTGAAAATACTTTTCTTGGAGGAGGCAATCCCAGAATAATTGTGTTTTTCCACAAAGAGACACTGTAATTTGTAAATTTTATAGAGTCGATAAAATTTTGCCTAGAAAGGATATTCAAATTTTGACAATCAACACAATCTTTTTACCTAATACAACCTCTTGAAGGCAAGTAAACTTGAAAATGAAAACCATTGAAGGTTCAGTTTCTTTTGCTGGGTTTTAAACTTCCTTTCGACAGATTTTCAGAGATTGNGGGGGGGGGGGGGATTGATTAAATACATACAGAAAATTAAGAGAAAGCTGCTACAGTTATCACAGACTTGAAATATCACAACTTTCGAGCAGAAAGTGAGAGAAAGGAAAATAACTGTGATAAAGGTTCATCCTTTCCAACTGTTTTTTTGGTTCTTTTTTTTGACTTGTGCAACCATTATTTTCATTCTAAGAAAAAACTATTTTATACACCAATCTGCAGCACCTAGAGACAAAACATCATTAAGACTTTGTGCTCCCAATCAAAGCAACGTAACCAGGTGATGCAAAAGTTAAGTTGTGAGAACAACGCTGTTTTTAACCCACTGATGATTGATGAGGAACATTTTGAGCGTATGATTTGTCAAAGGATCGTTTGAGAATGCCCATGTAAGCATTTCGCAAGAAATTTTTTTTCAGATTATGTTAGATTTGCTTAATCATTTGCTCAACTTTTTGTTAATCTGTTATAATTGGGTGTGTAATAAAAGCGTTGACTTTTGAACAGACATAACTTTCACACAACAGGGAAAACAATTGTGTGAGGTCTCTGAAATATTGTAGGCTAAGTGCAAAAAATGCGTACTTCAATTGCAACGTTTGAAAATCTTCAATGGACCTGTTGCAAACTATTGCTAGAGCAAAAATAAGAGTTGAAGCTCATAGAAAGTGTCTCAAAAATCACAATGAGCGCATCGGCAAAGTCTGAAATGCACTTCTTACTTCACAATCTGCTTAAGAAATTTGCATTTTTTCGAGCTTCCTGCTTCAAAAACGATACCACGGCACAAGTAAACATTTCGTTATAGGAGTCATTCCATCCAACCCCTGCTCACAAGGATACTACTCAATATTCAACATAGGCGATGCCAATCCGCCAAAACACATGTGACGATACAATGATTCTAACCACCTGATAACAATCAGCATGTTTAGATTCACATTTTTCTTGCATTGTTAGATATCTGCCTTGATTGACCTCAAACTCTCCTCAACTTGCACGCGGAAGTGTCGGCCATGTTGAGCAGCGATTGAATGGAGCGACTCTTCCGACGAAATGTTCACCCGTGCTGTGTTATCCTTTTTGAAGTGGGAATCTTAAATTCGTAATCGCAAATTTCTTACGCAAATAGTAAAGTTAGGAGTGCATTTCAGAGTTTACTGATGCACTCATCGTGGTTTTTGAGACAGTATTTGTAAGGATTAACTCTAATTTTTGCTCTAGCAAAAATTTGCAACAGGCCCATTATGGTTCCATTTCCTTGAGGAAAACTACTCAAAATGCTTCCTTGCGATATTGGGCGATTTTTTATAATGAGCGAAGAAAATTCACAAAATATCTCGAAAGAAACTTTTGGTTGGTTTTCTGCTAAAAAAATAAATCATAAGCAGAGATTTAGAACATTGTAATCTACAATACGCAATTTCCGACTTTTGCCATTAATGTTTGTTTCTAGCTGCAATTAAATCGGCTAACAATGAAAAATAAAAAAGCTGAATAAAGGTAAAAGAAGAGCCATGGAAAAGTTGCCATATATTTACTTTTCCAGTCTCCAGTGACAATCACACACAGATTTTTCGGAAACTTGAGCCAAAAATTAAAAAATATTCACATGAGCATTGGCAATTTTTGACAGCTCATTGACTGCCATTTGCCGAAACAACAGTTAATTCCAATACAATGTTTTAGTTTAAATATTCCAATTTCAGTGCCGAAAAAAATACATAAATGAATAAAACATAACAAATATAACAGGAAGTAGGAGAAAAATGCTTTGTGTAAATGGGACGCAGTTTCCGCTAAGTTTTCAAGAAGCCAATAATGTTACATTAAGACCTACACACACGCTTTCCTGCTGAATTATATTCAGCTGAAATTGAAAAACCTACTTAAAATAATGTTAATATGTTAGACATAATTTTATTTCTTACTGGATTCTTGATTAGTATACTCTGCGCTTTGCTCAAGACTAAAATCATCACTTCAAGATAGTTGACTCCCGGAAATGAAACTTCCTTCTCCAAAAATATGAAGATTGTGTGCTCTTATGGTTCAGTTTTTGAAAAGCGTTTCGCTCATGAGTATTCGCTGCGAACGATTTGAATAGTTGAAAGCCCCGGGGCTTGATGGATTCACTTCCTTCTCCAAGACAATTATCAAAAGTCAATCAATAGCTTCTCGAACAACCTGGGGTAATGAATAGGATTACTTGAATCGATCAAGGTCATTTGATGGTCAATCCCTTAAAGAGAAACTATTTGGAATGACACTGAGTAATTGTAAAATATCATAAGTAGGAGCAAAAAGGCACGAATTCATTGCAATATAGCTCCGCAAGTTGGACGATAGAAGATTCTGGCACCCATGGGACGATCCATACCTTATTTAAACTTCTATTTAATTTTTTCTCGAGATAGTATGATTTCAAGAAGAAACAATTTTTGCCTGTCAGTGGGTGGATTCTGTTCGAATAATATTTTCTTCTGCTTCGGTTTGAATTTTAATGAGCAAAAAAAAACATGGTTTCAACTGGAGAGTTAACAAACCTGATACATATAATGAGACGAGGAAGTTTTAAAAAAAGTGTAAAAAACTTATCAAAATTCAAATAACTGTTACACAGAGACCTCCTGTCTTCTTATGCTAGAAACTAAACAATTTAAAAACATTGCTAGTACGTATTTACATATTTATAAATGAGACTTTTGAACAAGAGGAAAAGACAGAAGATAGAGAAACAAATTTTGAAAAAATAAAAATTATTTGGGCGATAATTCAAAATAAAACGGACCAACCGATATTTTGTGCTGATGGAGGGGGTAGCTCGTATTAAAATGGTGAGAAGAACATATTCTGTTGGTTCTGAAATGGAGAGGAGTTAGACATTCCACCTGAAAAAAGATAAAAAGAATCGTTAAGTATCAAGTGACACAATTTTTAAAAACTCTTAAATTCCTTTCCTCTTTCTTATCAATTTTTGAACATATGTTTCGGATAGCGGCTGCTCATCATTCGCAGCAATGCTCATTGTTGTTGCAGTTTCTGGCTTTGAGTTATTTGGTCTATGTTGGCATTAGACTACATTTTGCAATTAGGAATTACGTTTCCTGGCTCATCTGTAAAAACACGCATGTGTATGGGGGAACCAATGGCACATACGTTGTTTCTAAACTGTTAGGGTTATCAAATTGGACTGCATTTTGTAGTTAGGGGCTAAAATTTCTGATTCATCGGTAAAAACACAAAAGTCCTTAGGGAAACTAATAGTTACTAAGGAAACTAATGATAAATACGTTGCTCCTAAAATGGGCAAAAAATTGTAGTTCCTAATTGCAAAAGGAAGTCCAATTGTGTTTATCTATGAGCTGTTTTCTTCTTAATTTGAAAAAAAAATGGTGTGCTCCTTCAAAGTCAACATTATAAAGGTTCTCTTTCTTCTTTAAAATTGCAATTTTTCCCATGATATTTAGATCCCTTGTGTTGGTTACCTTACACCCCAGTTACGGGTTAAAATCCACCCTATGCTATTGTGAGGATAACTTAATTAAAACAATATTTTCCCTTTATAAATTAAACATCTTCAACAATAATACAAATTGCTACCTCAAACTAGTTTATTTCGACGCAAAGGACCGACTTCTACATTCTCTGTATTTAATCCTAAATCAAACCGGGCATATATTTTCAGATGAAACTTCATAGATAATTAATTGAAAAGAGGGAGTCATGAGATTAAAAACACTGACTATATTGAACAGAGCAGTTGAAAATGAAGGACACTAAAATTTGATCGTTTCAACTGAATGTCATCTAGGACGCCGAACCAGACTTACCGACGGGCGATTTGACAGGAGAGGAATTCGCTAATTGATTCATCGAAGGAGAGTTTGATGCTTTCGAATTTTGTTTTGCATTGCTTAGAGAGAGATTATCCAGGTCGATGTTTAGGTCACCTAAACCTTTCCACGTTTTTCCGACCTGGGAAAAGAACAAATCATGAACTGATATTGAAGCATCAGTGGCACCCATTTTTTATGATGGGTCTGTTGCAGGCAAGAGATACAGCCAAATAAATACACTCATTACAGGTTCAATCACACAAAAATCTCATTACACCCATCAAAAGGTCTGAAATCCATTCCTTAGTATGCAATTTGCGTGCTTTGTAACACATTTTTACAAGTTTCCCGCGTCTGCAGGCAGTTTTTCTTAGTCACCGCAGACCAGGTTTCAATCTTTTCAACAATCGTCCTGCTGATAATGCATTTTTAGCTGAATATTTGCTTATACAGAAAACTTAGATAGGGAAAAACACACACAAAACCTTATTATCGTTATGTAAAGTCTTCTTATCACTGATTTTTTGTTTCGGTAAGTACAAACAGTGATCACTGAACACTCTCACTTCAAGGACTAGCAGGAAACTTCACCATGCTAAGTTATCTCATGAAATTACCTCTCTTGATCTTAGAAGTCAATTTTTTGAGGAACTTTTGGCCCTCTTCCTCATCCTTGTTGTTTCACAGCACACAGTTTAAAAGTTTCCAATGTGAGAAGGAAAAATAATTGTTGTGAGCCTTATCTTGTAGAATGGTCACAGAATTTCAGAAATTAAGTTTCCTGACATTTTTTTTTACATAATTTTGTAAAATTCCATTATGTTAAAAAATATGCAGGATGGTTGGAAGGATATAATTAAAGATAGTCTCCATGCAACACCTGTTCTTTAGAACGTTAAACCAATTTAAGAAAGTGAATTAAGGTGACTTTAAAATTTTTCCCTGACACTTTTGTCATTTCCCAACATTTCCTGAATTTTTTTCTGGCTTTTTGAAATTCCCTCACATTTCCTGGTTTTCCCTGAAAGTAGTAACCTTGCTTACAGACAAAATTCATTATTATACAACATTACTCACTGATTTCAAAAATCATAGATTCTCATGGCAATTCAAAAGATAAAAACTTACCAGTAATGAGCTATTGGTTGAAGTGGAAGACTGATTATTGGAAGGGTTGGATGTCAACGATACAGGTTGCAGAGGTGCTGCATTTGCAAAATCTGAAATGATTACAAGGTCCACCTTTAAATTACGCCAGCTCAAAAATTACCTAAACCAGTGAGTAATTGGACGTATTTATGCTAAAAGGAACTATGTTACACACAAACCCTACACACTTTTTTCCTTTTAGCATAAATACATCTAATTAGAAACAAAGGCAAGTCTATATTAAAACAATGCAAGTTTTCAAGAGCACATACGTGAAAATAAATAACCGCATGATCTGTTTCGACTTCTGATCTATTAAGCTTTGCAATTTCTATGAAAAATAAAGGAAGGCAAGGAAGAAAGATAATCTACAAGAGAAAAATTTGTTGATATTTAAATCTGATATCAATATCTATTATATCGATAATCCAATTTGTTGATATGTAATTCTGGTATTTAATTTTAGAATTTAGTGACTTAAACAAGAATTTGCTTGGCCTCATAATATTTAGCCTAATTTCCTCTCATGCTGTGTTTTCGATGGAAAATAAGGGCTTGGAATTTTGTAAGGATATTTCTTCAAATTCGTTGAAAATTCCTGCAACTTTTTGAGGCGCTATGTTGAAAATTTTTCTGGAAAAAAAAATTTAAACATTGGAGAAAATAGGCAACAATATATGCATTGCCATTGATTCTGCTCAAATTTGCTTAACTGAACTGAATAAAGATTAATTCTGAGCTTGACTAGCAAAATATCAATGATCGAAGTGCAAAACAAAATATCTCAATTGCCATGTTTCAAAATTTCTGCTCTTACTATATTTTTCCCAAGAGAAACAAGCCCACTTCTTTTTGCACTAACAGAGAAGAAAAATCAAGGAAGTTTTCGAGAAAATATAATAACCAGTTTTCAAATGAAAAAATAAATTGTGACAGAAAGTCTATGACGTCCCAAACTGAGAAACATGGTTTTGCATTTAGCCAGCAATATTTTTCCTGAAAAAAGTTGACATAAAAAAATTGAGAAAACACTAAAAGCATCAGTTTTGGATTGAAAAGTGTTTCACAAAAAATGCGCTGCTTCAGGTAAACAGAAAATGTTCTGTTACAGTTCCTTAAATTACTTATGCAAAATTTACGATAGAAAAGAAGGTTGCAAAATTGGTTGCATCTCTTGCATGAAATGGATCCATTTTCTTTTATGCAGTTTTAGAACAATGAAACATATGAGAGGAAACAAAAAGCTGCGTAAATAAAACGGAGAAACAGGTGCTTGAATAAGGACTTACTGGGTAAAGACGTGAAACTATTGGAAGGTTGTGACTGAACATTGGGCATGACACTAAGACCGAGTAATAAATCAGCGTTTGATTGATTATCTACAAAAAGAAGAAAGCAGCGTTTTAGCGAAAGCGTATCAACTGATATGTGTGACTACCCACAGGAAAAATGACGTCAGTGCCAATAATAGGAAACAAACAGAAAACTTTTTTTTTTCGTTTTCTTTGTTTTTTTTTTCTTACTTAGTGCCAATGATGAATAAAAATCTAGGGTAAAGAATTAAGTACCAAAAACATAAGTTTTTATCAAAATTATATGCAAAACGCCGTTGAGGATAAAAAATTTTAAATTCCACTTGTCGTTGGAAAATGGACTGAATTTTGCAACAAGAATTTTATGAATAATGTATACCTGTCTGTATACAGAAACTAATGGTTCATAAGTCATTCCTAAAATGAGCCAGAAATAGTGATGCCTTATTGCAAAATATGGTCTAAATAAGCTTTAAATGTGTTTGCAATTGGACTGCTAGACAAAGTACGAATTAAAGCATTCTAATATAAATTTTCTCAAAATTTCACATGAAACATGATTAGCTCAACGAATATCGCTGGAAGAAACTCCAAAACCAAGATATAAATGTTTTTTGATGCATAAATTCAAACTCACATGGAACACATGGACAAAACAATAATCTACTTGAGTTGGATTGCACGGTAAATATTACCGTCTTTGCAGTATGAAAATATGACAATCTCAACATCAACGCTTCAGCTCAGCTATTGCGTGATATTTACACTTTGAATGATACAGGGTGGAAAAGGAACACTGTGTGATTAAGAAGCGTTCCAAAACCATTGTAGTGCACAGTTGTATTCAAGTAGATTCTTGTTTTACTTGTAGGAGAAAATTCAAATTTTTCCAATCAATGCTGAATAAAAACATTATTATCTTGGTTTGGAGTTTAAATAAGTTATTTTTGTTGCGCAAATCCTACTTTACATAAAATTTTGAACAGGCTACACGCATCAAATCCTTGCATTTGTACCTTGTCTAGTGATCCATTCAAACTCTCTGTCTGCAAAAAAGAAACCCTACATTGACTACTGATCCTAAAGAACTACGATCCTTTCCCCTGTGGATGGTCACTCATAAACTACTGAAAGGAACAGCAATAATACTGTGAGTACAATTACTACTAAGTGAATCAATTTTTAAATGTGAAATAAAAAGAAAAAGCTTGATGTACCGTTATCAGGGCAACGATTCTGTATTGCCATTTACAATTCTGTGTTTTTTCAGCGTGTTCACGACCAACCAGTGCTCTAACTTTCAGCGCTAAAGATTTTCACCTATTGAGCCTATTTTTTGCAAATCAGTGGAAGTTTAATTGGATTCAACAGCTCATGGACATAATAAAAATGTTTTCATAACGCACAAAGTTTTTGATAATAAAGCAAAAGGAGCCGCCCTAAAAAACGGACCTTTATGGACCCTTTCCCCGCAAACCTGAGGAATTCAAGGAGATTTGGCTCAAATGAAACCTACGGATGCAGTAGGCCTCTGCTTTAAGTTTTAACTTAGGGTTTAAACTAAGTTCAGTGCTGCAGCATTGCAAAGATTACATTGTTTGGCATTAAAAAGTGTATATGTACTTGAAGTGTGGACTTTGCTTCTTCGGATCAACTAATCTGGCTAATAGCGCAACCTAAAAGTTCTGACAAATTACAAGGTTTCTTTTTAGTCACATGTCTATGAAATTCCCGGGTTCTCAAAAAAGGGGCCATTGTCAAGAGGCTCTTTGAGAGAAATTAGGACGGTACAAATTTTGAAGGCGCCTTGCTGAAAATATTGCGCTGGTTACTACAGTGACACACCAATTAAACATGAGGAGGAAATCTTACTTGTGCTTGTATTGGTTGAGACAGGGAAACTTGGGATAGGAGCTGGCGTTGGTGCAGCAATCACGGAGGAGTTATTGCTAAATGCGGAGTTGAAGTCAGCGAACTCATCAAGGTCACCGCCAGTGCTATAACAGGAACCAAAGCAAAATAAGAGAACGCAGCTTTAGTGTAAATGAGAGCTAGATTTTTCATGAAGAATTCACAAACTGATACATGATCAATCTACCCCTGAAAAGGTTGGGTAGCGACAAACCCCAAACGTCCTGATATCTCACATGAGCTAAAGAATGTGGGAGTTTTCAATCCATCCACTGTATTCTTGACAAAATTTTGATGGATATAGATTCAATCTGATACTTATTTATAACCCTAACTAGTGGTAAAGTTGAAATCAGGTTAAACTTTCCAAAAAAGGGCTTAGGTAGCTTAAAATTGAACCAATTTTGAAAGCAATGACAAAAATGACACTTTTTTCATCTCTCTCAAAAGCACAACGACAACATTAGTGACGAGTTTTGAGAGATTTTAATTTTCAGTCACATTAGTCAAGGACACCAGTAGGTGGGAAAGCAATCATTTCCCATTGATTATTCATTTTATTCTAGTTTTTACACACTGCTCCAGAGACATTCGATTATTGATAAATTATCAGTTTTCTGGAGGAAAAAGGACATTTTGTTTCAATGATGTTAACTTAATGAGCTCCAGGTGCAATACAAATTCAAGAGTTTTCACTTCAATTTTTCTGAAATAAGTCTAGGATGTTCTCAATATTTGTGGATATCTTGAATTTGAGAGAACAACCTTTCAGGGCTTGAAAAATGAAAGGACATAACCGACATTCAAGAACTTGAAAATCGAGAACAAAGTGACTTTGGATGTTAAAGAGTTTCAAGAATAGACTACTTACTTGCCACCGCTTGCAGTTGGTACGGCACCGAAGAGAGAAGAAGCGTCCGCTGCTGAGCTGTCGCTAAAGGCTGCAAAATCGCCAAAATCATTAGAACTCGTTTTCGTTTCTGTCTTGACCGGACTGAAATCACCCAAAAGGTCGCTTGATGCTGGTTCTGGAAGAGTACTTGATGGAGACTGAAATCACAAGAAGAGGATTTTAGCTTTGTAGCTAAGCAAATCAAACTCATTCCAAAAACTTGATCTATCAAAGATCTGCGATCAGCAACATTAGATGAGTATAGGGATGAAGAAGCCTAAAAATTCGTAAAAATTAAGAGAGTATAAAAGTGTTTTAGGAACTTTTTTAAAATTTCCTAGACTTTTAAAGGGTGTCACAGTACATCAAAAGTGGTTGCCTCTGAAACTTTCTAAAGCCCTCTTGAATGGCTCTGTTGCATGCAAGAGTTTTAGCCTACTGAAAACTTTTTCCAGGCGTAAATGCGCTAGAAATTCACCTTGGTCACATCAAAAAGGTCTGAAATCAACTTCTTAACGTGCAATCGGAGTAGTTAGTAAGACGTTTTTTCAAATTTACTGCTTGTGCGGGCAGTTTTTCTTGGTGGCCACCCGTCAGGTTTGCCCAGAGCGAGACCTAACCTAAATAAACAAACAATCTCGCGAACTGTTATAAACTCTCCTTTTGAAGGATTTCAATTCATTCAAAGCTTGTGTTTTTGCAAAATAAAGAAAGTAAAAGGAAACAAACTCTTGAGAACTAATGAAATCATACGACAGAAAAAGTTAGTTAACCGTATGTTTACTTAGGGTAGTTCTTTCTTACACCTCTGCCTGTGCAAACCTGGTCTGTGGTAACAGAGAAAAACTGCCTGCAGATGCGGAAAACTTGAAGAAACGTGTTATGAACTACGTACATTGCGCACTAAGGAATGGATTTTAGACTTTTTTGACATACCCAAGGTTATTTTCATGCAATTTTACCTGTAAAGTGTGTATTAATTTGGCTGTATCTCTTGCATGCAACAAACCCATACTCTAGGAGTTACACACAAAAAAGAGAAACAAGATTCACTGAGTGAAAGATTGGGATCCGAGTGGCAAACCTGCTGGCTACTCAAAAAATGTCTTGGATGGCTAGTATCTAATACTAGTATCTAAAAAGATTACTCAAGATTTCTGCCAAAAATTTTTTTACCTTAAGAAACAGGTAAGAAATCTTGTGAGAAACCTCCGTACAATCCTTTGGAAGTAGCTGCTTATTCCTCTAGGCTTGTCCTGAATCCTTGATATGAAATAAACCACTGGACAAGGTATGAATATAAGCATTCTCATACATATTTCCTAACCAAAATTTCACGTAGAACATGATTTACGCAACGAAAATCACTGAAATAATTCACGAAGATATTAACATTTCTAGTTAACATTGGTTCCATGAGGCTTTTCGATGAGCAGTGTTCCCCATCCAAAGTTATTCAAAGTGTTAACACAGTGCAACAGAAAAGCCGAAGCATCATAATTGAGGTTGCCATATTTACATATCGCAGACTGTTACCGTAGTGTTTAGTCTGCGAGTTGACTCACATGCAGACTTTAGTGTTTTCTATGAGCAGCAGCTTTGAATCTCCGCACCGAAAAAGTTAAATATCCTCAGTTAGAGGTTGATGTCAGTAATTTTTGTTGTTCAAATTGTGTTCTCTGTGAAATCTTGATGAGAATACAAGTATCTGAGTGCTTTTTGCACCTTATCTACTGGTCCATTCACAAATACTCTTTACATCATATGTTATGACTTGGGAGAGATAAGTGCTGAGTCAAGAAATGACTCAGATATGATGCTTACCGTTACTGTATTTGTTTTTCCATAATTCGCAGCTGCTCCAAGATCTATTTTTTTAATATTCCGTGTTGTCGTCGACTTGGCAGGAGAGGGGATTCCAATGCTTATTCCTTGTTTCTTTTTGTCCGAGTACTCTGCTGAGGGTTTGCTTATCGTTTCGTTTGCTTCTGCCTTCACCTTGAATGTATCCTCTTTTACGGTTGGAACGTCTCCGTCTGAGTCAAACTTCTCGTTATCATCGCTAGTAACATAAAAACAGAGGGTATAATAATTAAAAGCAGTGAAACAGGAGCCATTCATTGGTTTGACGATAAATATGTAGTCTTCCACCTTAATGCTAGGAGCCTCAAGCTTTCTTCCATAAAAGAACTTATAAACCTGCCCAAGCAGCCTGTTCATTGAAGTTGATAGACAAAGCAATGGACAAAGAAGACAGAGCAAAAAGTTGAGTGATTCTGTCCATTGGAACGGGTGGTTCTTATGGACTGAGGGAGGAAATGATGGAACTAACTGTAGGGTCTCTCGTAGATTGTCTAGGAGTCTACTGTTGGGCATTTCTCAAAATTCAAGGATATTTGATAACTTCAAAATTCCAAGTGCATTCAAGGACGCTCAAAGTGTTACAACCCTGATTTAAGTGTAAATATTTAAAGGCACTCACTTAAGAACCCAAGGAAATACCCATCTTACCTTCCATTTTCAGAGTCATTGCTAACTCGATCTTGGCTCCATTCATTTGTGTCTTCTCTTGCGTCTCTCCATTGGTTTGGATCTTCCCATCCTCCTTAGATAAAAAAATAAATATATTGAAAGATAAACAGCAAATAAAAGATTCAACAATCACATCATAAGAATGGAAAGGAGTGATAGAGTTAGGGGCGTCATGTTGGTATTTGATGAGCTAATGAGGAACGGTTCCCTTAAAAAGTAGTAACAATAAGAAAACCTTTACTGATAGCTATCAGAGATTTTGACACATGCAAAAATGAGCTGCTGCCATGAATATATCAGTTTTAAAGGCCTCGTAACAAAAGGAATGACATACAGCACAACAGTACTTTTACACGGAGCTGTTGCGGTTCCGATAGTGCTGGCTGTTTTCAACAAGAGCGGCCTTATCAGAGTGTATCCATATTTTACAACAATCAGTACCAATAGCTTACCAAAGATCTGTTTGAACACTCTTAAATGAGACTTGTCTAGTATTCTGACGATCTAACCAGAATCGTCCAATATTTGAAAAATTCTTTTGTTTCACAGAGAGCAAGGCTGCTCTACTCCTTAAAACTATGTTGCGCAACTTTTTTCTTGCTTTCTTTTTTTCATATTCAATCAATAGGGCAGAGGCAAAACATTTTTGCAGGGTATTTTTCCTCATGTTACAATTTGTGAAAAAATCAAAAAGTTCATTACAAAGTTCAGAGAATCACTTCTACTGGGAGATAAAGTTGATCAAAATCTGACCAATCAGAAGCCAATAGTCCAGTTGACGTAGCAAGTTAGAAGCTGAGTTCAGCCAATCAACAAACGCACTTTTCCCTGCTGGTCACGCCATCAGAGCCAGCCCAAAGTATTATTTTTAACAGGACCCATTTTTGGCATTTTTAAAATGGGGTTGATTTGCCATAGAGGGTTAAACAAATTTAAAAAATCTGCATTTGTGGGAAATAAATGTAAAAAAAAAGAAGAGAGAGTGTCACCAGTCCATTTACAGGTCAGGCAATGACACGGACATGGTTTCTTCAATTTTTTTCAACCCCACACTTAGAGTAACGATGATAAAAGTAAAACTTAAGACAGAGTAAAGCAGCAATTTGATCAGAGCATAATAAACAGATTTTTTCCCAAAGCTCATTTTCCGTACAAAATAAATTTGCAAAAAAAGAGAAAAAGATAACGAACCTCGCATTCCACCCATTCCATCGCTCGACATGCCAACATACTTATCCTTGTTCTTTTTGGCCTTTTTCCGTTCTTCTCGCAATTTTTCATCATCCTGGATGAATTCGATTAGATCTCTTACTTTGTGCCTGTAAATATTGTCATAGATTTACTGATATGTGCGTTCTGGCAAAATAAGTTTTCGAAAATGAGTCAACTTGGGAAATAAAAATTTCCAGGCGAACAGTTGACAACTACGTAACAGTGTCAAAAACAGGCAAAATAAATATACAAGAGATAAAAGTATGGTTTTCTCTGCATATAGTTTCTCTCCTAAAATTTCAGATTTCCTGAAAAGACAGGTTTTTCAAGAGTTTGACAAGTACTCTGCCATTCATAGAAAGAGCTGAATAACTCAATTCTCAATTTTTCAATTCTTCCTTGGGGTCAATGTTACATTAAAAAAAAAAAAAAAAAAAAAAAAAAAAAAAAAAAAAAACTTGTACTTACATCTTTATTTTTCATATTTTTAGCGTGCTTACATAATGTTATGAAAAACATATTCTGAAAAATTGAAGTACAAAAATGCTTTAATTTTCTTAGGAATCAAAGAAGCTGAGACAAAACTGAAAAGACGTGGAGTTAAGTTTTTAAGTTGACACTGGTTTTTACCTAATGTTTTAATGTCTAATATGTGAATGTCAGGACATTCAAAAACACAGTGACAAGATATTTCATCCGATCTGACAAACATTTTTTATTACCATCTTTCTTTTGAAGGCATGATTTTTAAGGGAGGAAGGAAGGAAGTATCGAAAGAAAGCTACTGCGGAGTTCTCGCCAGGGAAGTTTCCTGAATTTTAGAGTGACAGAGAAAGCCACACAACTAATTTTGCATGAGCGCTATTGGTTGTTGCTTACCGAATATTGACGCCTTGATCCTTGCCAAATTCATCGATAAATGTGTAATTTTCGAGACTTCGGAGATCGAAAATATGTTCTCGAGAGGAAGTTACGACACGTTCTGAGCCATTCCGCACCAAATAGTTTAAAAGGAGTAAGGACTGAAAAAAAGAGAAGAAAATGATTGAAATCCAACACACCGAATTTAGATTGAAAGTTTGCTTTTCCTGATGTCTGAAATTGAGGAGAAAAGGCAGTTCACGTTAGGAAACTTTGGAATTTATTGGTGTGGTTTCTGACATCAAAAGTTAAAAAATTAATCCTTCGCAACAGTTGGAACTTTCAACTGCTGTGCTCGAATTTAAGAGTTTTGACAGGACCAAAGGAAATATGAGACTGAATCTGTGAAAATGGACCTCATCTTCCGGAAAAAATGTTCCCTAATTTTTTGCAAACACTATTAACCACGTTTTTTGTAACCTGAGAATATTTGTGTGAGAACTTCAGGACTAATATCTTCTTCAGTTTTTGAGATTATAGGGTCAGATTTGCCCCAAAATTTTAAAATTTTCTTCCTCCATGCATTTGCAAGGAGTCAAGGAAAATTTTCACCTGGAGAATAAGGACCCTTTTCACGAACCTAGTCACTTACCGAGAATACAAATAGATAGTGAAACCAGAAAAAGTCACAAACCAAGCACAATGATTAAAAATGTCTATTCTAGGATATTTTTCCAGCGGAAAACTGATACATATTTTCACGTGGAATTTTTACAAAAAAATTTATAGACAGTTTACAAAGAACTGAGTGACATCTCATGAATTAAAAATGGTTGGTTTTCCCCTGATAAAATTCAATACAGTAAGAAGTTTGCAACATTTTTAAGCAACATATGATTTTATTCAGCTTAGTGTTGACATTCACTGACAAAATCACATTTAAGCAGAAGTAAACCTGTCTTGGTGCTCAAAGGAACTATTATGAAAAAGTAAAAAACAGCTCTAAGTAAGCAAAACTTGGGATACACCTCTGGACAATGCATGAAGTAAGGCAATACACAGTATATTTGGATTACATTTTGCAATAAGGAACCACTATCTTTGGCTCTCCCATAAAAGCACATACTTATCTGCATAGGAAAACCAATGGCATGTATATTGTTTCTAAAATGAGCCAGAAATAGTGGTTTCTTATTGCAAAATGTAATCCATTTTATCTAGAGGAAAACGAATCACTTAACCGGAAGAATAGGAATAACATTGGTAAATAGTAAAATAAAATGACTTAAATTGTATAATTTAAATTCCGTTTGATCTGCGATAATAAAATTTGTTGATATCTTGTTCAGAAGTTGATTTCCTGACTTCCAGTTGTCTGAATGGACCACTAGATAAGGTACAAATTTCAGCATTCTGATACATGATTCTTAACCAAAATTTTACGTAGAACACAATGCACATAACAAAAATTACCAAATTGACTCCTTATGAAGATATTATATGATTCTTGATGCGTGAATTCAAATAACCCGCTCATGGAAACTCAATGCTCTAAGTGATTCACAATACGTGCTAAACATTATCATGACAGTCTCTGCGATATACAAATCTGGCAACCTCAATCTTGCCGCTTTGGCTCAGCTATAGCGAATTGCTTATATTTTGAACAACACATGGTGGGACATGAACATTGCTCGACTGAGAAGCTTGCTGAAACCATTGTAGTGCGCGATTTGACTCACGTAGAGCTTTGAGTTTCTTGTGAGCTGGCAGTTCAAATTCCTCGTAACCAATGTGAAATAAAAACGTTGATGTCTTCGTTAGGAGTTGGTTTAAGTAATTTTCGTTGTGCGAATTGTGCTGTACGTGAAATTCTGAAAAGGAAACATGTATCAGAATGCTTAAATTTGTACCTTGTCTAGTGGTCCATTGTTTTCTAAGTAAGATTTTGAAGAGATAGCAGGAGACTTTTTTTGTTCTTTTTCAGCAGACCTCGTCTGGTGGCCCATCATTTCACTTGATCTCTTTTCTCTAACAAAAGTAATAGAAATAATAAAAAATAATGAAGTACAAACTTTGTAGGTTCTCCTCCAGTTCTTTTTATTGTCTTGCAACATGCGCTTCCATAACATTGTCATAACCTCCGGGAAATGTTCAAAGGTAAATGTAGCTTGAGCAATCTCTTGCATTAGAGCCCCTGAAATTAGAGAAAATAAATTAGTACGAAGTGGGTGATCTGTTATTCAAGATTCTATCATCTTTGGTTGCACTTTGATTTCTGGTTAAAATCAGATTGGCACAAAAATAATAAGCTGGATTCACGTTGAACATGACAACTTATCCTGGAAGAAAAGAAAAAAATAACGCACTGATAAGGTTCATCAAATCAAATTGGTCAACAACAAACAATTTTTTTTATAATTTAACGCCCATCAAGAGTCGCATTCCGAGTTCTTTTTTTTATTTTGAAAACATCAGTACATGCTCTGTGCTTTTATAATGGACTTTCAAACTCTAGCATATTTTAATGAATCCATACTTTTCTGTACAATTTATAACATGAGTTATACAGACCTAAATGCAAATATGCAATGAGAAAATGTCCTATCTGCCTAAGGTCAGATCTAGGAAAACCAAGGCTTAGTGTCCGTTTATGATGGTTCCAAAATCAGCCTCCATTCAAATAAATTTAAACTAAATTGATTCTCAAAATTGATACCCTGTATAAAATGCTTGATCGAGAAGTGTACCAATAGATTAATTATATCCATATCATCGATCGGTGCTAAAATGTTGGAGTATTGTGAACGATTATTACCTGTTGGACCCCAAGCATCATCATTTGTGGCTTCCCTTACTTTCGCCTCCACTTCTGTGTAGTTCATAACCACATTGGTGCTGCAAGAAAAAAAAATATGATCAAGAATACCGATAAAAATTGGTGCACACGTCAAAATCAAGGAATAACTTACCAAATGTACCGAACAGAGTAAGTATGAAACTACAAAAAAGGTTCGATTATTTCTCTGAAAAATCACAGTGAGCAAAGCTGCTGGGGAAGAACGCCGTACAAGCCTTCAGACATTGCCATATTTCCTTCAATAAAGAACGAAATTCTTCTGAAAGCTGTGAAAATATTTCTTCGAAGTTATCAGACACTTTTGCTTGCACTTAGATCTAAAGTATCTAATAATTTTGAGGAAAAATATGCATGATTTTCCTCAAATAAACATGTTCTATTCGGGAAATTTGGCAACTCTCAAAAGTTCATAAGGTGTTCTTCCTCAGCACAGCAGAAAGGAACCATTCTCACTTCTCAGCTGAAGCATCTGCATTGACTTCAGATATGCAAAACAGGCCCTGAATATATTCTGCATTATCCATTGGCCTTGAATTTGCCTACAACCTCACAGCTGCATTTTTGAAACAGCACTATTTTCTTGTTTCCTTATTGAGTTACTTGATATGTGAGGAACTTCCCAGGTCCACTCAAATTTTGATATCATTTTTAAGTTTGCAGTTCATCCATTCTTCCCAGTGATTTTTACATACGATGATCTTCGTATAACAAATTTAGACTTCGCTCCTACGGGGCCTCACGACGTCTCAGGGGACTCCGTTTTAAAACTCTACCGTTCCCCACCCAGGAATCTTTCCGCTGGATCATACAGAGGCTTCAAAAGCTACATCAGGAAAAGGCCTCAAGAATAATAACTCAAGGGAGCTCTGAACAGCATGATAAAATGCGCTTCTGGCTGCAGTGACAGCATAGTCTGTGAGACCACCCCAACTGAAAGGTAGTCGTACTTGGAATAAAGATAGGAGAAGCAAGGGTAAGAGCAGAAAGAGATGGGGGAGAAATGAGAGAATTGGAGGAAACAGAGCGAAAACATAAATATAACTTCAAATGAACGTTACGCCCTAACAGGTTGCTCAATTGCTTGCAGCCATGCTTGCTTGAAAACACTAGATTGATTGTTGTTGAGCAGATCACACCCGAACTATCTGTCTCAAATCTCGTTTTGGTTAGATGTTGAAACTTTCCGTTCCAGTTTGGGAATGTAACCAAGTTGACTTAAATGATAAAGTAATTATTTTAGACGTAGCTGCCCATTCAGAATAAGGAAATTTTTTGTGTAGAGAAGATAGAGTTTATCCTCTCAACTTGAGAAACAAAAAATATTTAAAGGACTCCAGTAAATCAGATAAAAATTTGTTGGTATCTCATTGGAACCAGATTTATGTTTCAGTTTGGGAATTTAGGACATGCAGGGTGTGCTTAGTTCTAAACAGATGCAACAGCTGAACGGTAGGTAGAGAGGAATATATAAGAAGCTGAAGCACTTAAAGAGAAAATAAAGCCATCATAAAAGCCACTCGAGATATGCAATTCGGTAGAAATGATAAGAGTTAGGAGGATGTGCACCTTGAAGGTACACCGCCTAATGAATCAGTTGTAAAAGTGTGCAACAAAATATCGTTGATTGGGAAGTAATCTCAGTATAACACTGATTTAATAGCCCACTGTAGGGGTGATTCTTGAAAATAGCGATGCGTTATCTGAAAGAGAATGATTGTTCTCCGAGAATTAAGATTTAATTACAGGTGATCAGGGGAAATTTAGCCCAATTTCCAAAACCAGGGGATGTCAAGGTTGGAATTCACGGCCTGGATTTACTTACACTTTGTCGGCTATTTCGCGAACTTTCCACATTGTGAACATGTTTCGGGATTGAAATATTGAAAAATTGTAGAAGAATTTCACCACAGCTATTAAAATTCTTTCTCGAATGTGCAAATTATTTTACATTTTCTGACAGTTGTGATAGAACTCGAGATGAGTTTTGATTGCCAAGTCAACACTACACGTAATCTTTGGTTAGCTCATTGTGTCTGTTTACGGTCTACTGTAATCTTTGACTGAAAACATGTGACCAAGGAATTATCAAGATTTCTTCTCGCCGTAGTTCTGGAATTATTACGTGATCCTTGTCAATTATTTAATGACGATAATTAGTAATTCTTGTGATTATGCATATTTTAAGGTGGGATTTTCTTTAATTTGTGCTTATCTTTCCTCCATCTTTCAATGCTATTAAGTTCTCAGTGCTAGGAACAGGAGTTGAAGTTAACCTCTCAGCCTCATCATCAACCTAGCTTAGCGAAGCACAAGACTTTTTTGAAGCTTTTCTGATGAAAATCCATCTAATTATTGTCGCTTACCCCTGAGAAAGCGTTTACAATTTTCATTCCTCAATTAATGTTGATTTCCGAATAGCATTGCTAATCAAGCAACCCTCTATTGATAACAGATAGACAATACTGATTCATGCTTTCATCACCGATCGCCAAAGGATAGTTTACGTATCGCATTTTCTTAGTGAGTAAAGCCGTGTGATGCATGCACCTGTCAGTTTGGACTTTGATCATTTGTGCCTTTTATTTCTGGCGTGTAGCAACTTCTCAAATCGGAACCATTTTTGTTGAAAGTAGCACTACTGATAGTGCCAACACAAGGCTGAAGAGAAATGGACTCGGAGAATTTACGCGTAGCTCATCTCACATCACTTAAATCTCAAATTATCAAGATTGTTTATTTTCAAACAGAAAACTCCAGTGCTCGATCATCTGACCATGATAAATATTCTGCAGCTTTTTACTCTCCACCTGAAAGCTTGATCCTTGCAAGTCTCACTGCAGCCTGATTGTTGAAATTTTGTGTTTGTCAGGTAGACGCAGATGACATAGGTTATAAAGCGGCGCTTGATTGGTTGGCTCTGTTTTATCGCTGCTTTGTTGTGCCTACGTCAGGTGGAACTCTCGACAAGCTAACGGCACCTCTTAAGTTTTCGAAAATATGTTGTCCATTCCACCTGACAAAAGCACGATAAAGCAGTGGTAAGACATAGCCGACCAATAACGTTCCGCCTTTGACCCTATGTCATCTATGTCTACCCGACAAACACAAAATTTCAACTATCAGGCTGCCGGTGAATATTATGCATGCATCTCTTCTTCTCTACCATCATGAAGAAAGGGCGTTCGAAGTTATTTTTCCACCTTGTAATTTTCTTCCTTTTCACTCCTTTTACTTCTCGTCTTCATGATTTACTGAAATGTTCTTTTTCTTCCTTGCTCCCTGCTACTTCTGTATAGCGATTTCAGAGTGGTGTTTCATTTTTGTTTTGCATATTTTTGCTCTTCGTAATTTGTGTAACTCTACTCCATGGTTCCCATTCTGAAACTAGTATTGGGATAGTAAGCGAAGAGTACATATAAGTATGGGAGAATGAGTCAAGTGACATTTCATCGCTTCTCCACTGTGAAGGTATAACTGTACTCCACGCTGAGCTCCGTTATCCATACGACCGCTTGCTCTCCTTGGCCCTGGAGGAAGTGTTGATATGTCCTTACATCAGGGAAGTGAAATTTTTTGTGGTTTTGCGAAGAACACGCTTAAGTTGACAAATAATTGGGAGCTTGAGATGTTGACAAACAGCATATTCAATGATGAGGTAGTGGCAAGGAATTTTTGCGGGGCTTTAGTGTGGTTTTTCTCAAGTATGGTCTCATGAAAAAACCATATGAAGTTCATCAAAACGTTCATAAAAGTATTTCTAATGGGAGAAGAAGCTAATATAAATCCAGCCAATCTAAAGCGGACAGCCGAGTTAATGTACCAAGTTGATGCCTGAAGCCGAGTTCAGCCAATCTTCAAACGCTGTTTCCCATGATAGGTTACATCATCAGAGCTGGCCAAAAATATTTTTTCAAAAGGGTCCCATTTTTGGAATTTTCTAAACTGGGTTTCTTAGCCTAGTGCTAAAAAAAAATAATCTGAAAAATTCCTAAGAGTTTAGTTCCCTCTGTACAGGAAGTGAATTAAAAGAGGGGGCCTCTGACCTATCGAGGCCAAAGAATGAGCTTTTATCTTTGATTTTCAAGCACAAGTTTTGCTCAAAACTACCAATATCACCAATTTTTCACAATTGTCAACTCCTCAACCACAATATCCATCAAATTTTGTAACTAAAGATCATTCCCTCGAGTCTGACTTATCATGATAACTTTTTCAGGCATCTCGGACTGGCGAATACTGGACCAATAAAGTCAGACTTAATCCTAGCGGGCTCTACAAATACAAATGAGACACTACTAAATCAACAGATTTCAAATCCTGTGGATCCCCCACAAAAAGAGCTGCGGATGGACGATCCTCGTTTTCGCATCACGCCTGTCCAACAGATGGTTGCTGCGTGCGGAGGTGCATTAATTACTTCGTTTATAGGTAAGCAGCCCGACAGTTTTTTTCTAACGCATCCATCTCTGGACTTATTTGATTTTTCATCTCTTGAGAACGCCTGACTTTTGAGTTTTTTCCACTAGTTTTTTGCCTGTGAGAGAGGCAGTGTTGCATTTGAAATCGCCTGTGTATGAGGCAACCCCGATCTTACAGGAGATACCAGGATTGCTACTTTCAGGGAAACCTGGAAATGTCAGGGATCATGATGAAAATGTCAGGGAAGTATTGTTAAGCAACGTTAATTTGCTTCCTAGAATGGGTTTGACGTTTCAACAAGTTTGCCTGAAAACTATTTCAAATTATGTCTTTCAATCATCTAGCATACCTTCAATTGTCATGGAATTTTACCACAATGTGTGTCACAAGAAATGTCAGGGCACTTCATTTTCCAAATTCTGTTGCAACCTTCGAGTAGGGTTCATTCGAGGGCTAAAGCCTGTGTCACACTATCAAAGCTAGCCATCAAAATATCAAGGTCAGGTGTTGTAATTGGCTTATTCGATGACTTGGACCAACCCCAGCTCTTGACCTTGACATTTTAATGGAGTATTTTGAAAGTGTGACACAGGCTTAAGGAACAATACAGCCCAACTGAAAATTTTGGCAGAAATGAGTTATCGACTTTGTCGCATTCTACAGTATAAAATACAAAAGCTGATGTTTATGGTTTTTTCCAATTCTTCAGGGGAGCGCCATAATTTATGAAAAAATTGCAGATCCAAATTATTACAAAAATGGCAAAGTTTTCTCTTTGTTCTGCAAAAGTCTCAGTTTGCAGATAGGCGGTACTGTTCCTTAGAAATCGATTTGTAATTTCATGAAAATGTCTTAATCTACCTTTGGGTCATTCCAGTTCTATTCCCTTTCTAAGATTTTAGAATTCTTCAATTTTTAGAAAAGACTATTTTAAAATTATCTTATTTTCAATCTTACAGAATATTTTTCCCTCCTTCATATCTCAGAGCTGTCATTAGAGTTCAGAAAATCCCTTGGTTCCTAGAGAAAACTTGAACACTTTTGCTTGTGAAGATCATGTTTTCCAGGGAATTGATTTCAAATTCCTTGTAGTGATAAATCGTATTAAATTATTTTTGACTTTCAAATAAGGCTTACTGTTTACCTCTTTGCAAAATTACTCAGAAATCTTTTAGTCAAGACGGCCAAGCCTTGCTGTACTTGTGCAATTTCTCATAACGTCCAAATTTCATGAATTTTTACTTTGAATCTGTTCCAGTAACTCCTTTTGATGTGGTCAAAATTAGACTGCAGGCACAGCAGAAGGACTTGAAACAGAAATGTTTCATCTACTGCAATGGTTTAATGGACCACCTTTGTCCATGTGCCAACGGCAACAGTTCAAGCAACGAATGGTTTCGTAGAAATTCACATTTCACCGGTACAGTGGTAAGTTCCTCTCGTATAATTTTTTCTTCAAGTTAACAAATTAATGCAAATAGAGCCAAACTATACCAGTAGAGCTAAGTTATATTGGTAGTTTTGAAGGAAGATACACGCACATGAATTTAGGGCTAGTAATGCGTGTTAGAAAGGATGCTTTTTTCAGTTAAATTTGTCATGGTATGAACTATGTATGAAAATATTTCCACTTTTTGTATTTGATACTCTAATGTGATCATCTCTCTACCTATTTTATCCCTTGATTGTAGTCTTTAGTACTATCACAAGATTTAGGGGTAAAACTGTCATGATCCTACATTTTAAGAATAAAAAATAAAACATCTGTCAGAGAAGCGAGTTTGTTTTTAATGATTTATTGGGGGGTAAACAGTATCGTGTTAAGATTACCTAAATATCCCCAAATCGGTATTCAATACGTTACAATTATGTTAATGTGAGCATGGTATAATGATAAATTAGTTTGTGTATTTAGTGTCTTGAGTAATTTATTTCTTTATTCACCTTTTTTTTTTCTATTTGGCAGGATGCATTTGTGAAAATCAGTCAGCGAGAAGGAATCAGTTCCTTGTGGAGCGGCCTGAGTCCCACCTTAGTTTTAGCCTTACCAGCAACTGTCGTTTATTTTGTCACGTATGAACAGCTGAGGATCAGATTGAAAGATTACGTCGCTAAAAAGTCCTTGAAAACTAATGCTTCAACAGCGACGTCTTCTCAACCTCCCTGGATTCCGTTAGTGTCGGGAGCAACAGCAAGGTTGTGGGCAGCTACAGCTGTCAGTCCCCTAGAATTAATTAGAACAAAAATGCAGTCCAAGAATGTGACATACAAAGGTAATTTCATCCTTTTTCAAGTGTCAAGATAAGGATAGACTTCTTTTCAACAACCTCTGCAGGCTGATTTATTCAATTGATGGACAAAACAATAGAAATTAAAGACAAAGAGAAAATAGAACAATCCGATTGGTTGAAACGGGTGATTGTTTTACACAAAAGGGGGAAATGATGAACTAACTACAGGGTCCTCAGTGTGTTGCCGTTAGTTAGTTTATTACTTGCCTCTTTGTCTATTCCAATCACTCGCTTCCACAGAAAGGATTGCTCAATTTTCTCTTTTTTCTGCTTTGTCTGCAAGTTGTCTATCAATTTCAACAATCAACCCACTGACAGAGTCAGAAGCACCATACCGATGTTTTTATCATTGAAAGTGTATCTGTAAATGAGAGAAGAAACGTCAGTATCACAAAACTCAAAAATAGGATTTGTCACCTCTTTCTGATTTTCAACTTGACTGTATTGAACAAATTTTTAACTCATGAAATAATAAATTGTAAAATGGAGATTCACATCCAGATGAAGGGTCAGTTGAAAATGTCAATTTATCAAAATCTAGGGCTGTGCAAATAGCAAATAATTTTGCCAATTATTCGCGCATACAAATAGTAAAACGAATAATTCAAGTCAATTATTCACAACTACGAAGCGTAATACAAATAATTTAAAATCACTTTTTTGAGTGTGAAAATTTGCAAATATCATAGAAGTTGACACGTAAGTGTGATTAACTTTTTATAGAATTTTCCACTTGCTCGCACAGAAAACAATGAAATGCTATGATCAGGCATTTGAGGCGCCTCATGAGGTTATGCTGTACAGCATCGACTCGTAGCTTCAGCATCAATGCCGTATGCCCAGGTAGCGGCCGTTCGGGCATACGGCTCCGAGCCTGATGCGCTCAACCTGCCGGCCGCCGGCTTCGGGCATTGAAGCCCGATGCTGGAGAGCCGACCGAGTCAGCCTCAAGCGCTGATGCTGAGGTTTGATGCTGGCTCAGGGACCAACATGGGCCTCAGCCTCTGAGGCCGGACCGTCGGCTTGCGGCCCGATACGGCCTCAATTTATTTCGAATCCGCCACCCAGCTTAATTACCGACGGGGCTGTCCCAGAAGACCGCGACCCTCGGACTCGGCGATGAATTCGCGGAACACCCCTTTGTCTTGGCGGCGGCCCACGCCTCGCCGAGAAGTTCTAAGAAGTGGACGCCGAGGAAGGGTGTTAGCCGACCGGCAGCCGGGCCCGGGGCGCTGGCGTCCGACGCGTCTGCTAATTGAAGCCGCTAATTTTGATGCTGGACTCAGCATCAAAACTGATGCAGCATCAGAAAAGGAGCCGGGAGTCGGCTTCACCAGGTGAAGCCGCCTCAACGGCATATGCGCTCCCCCGGCGCACTGATCGAAGCGGCATGAAAGTCCGCGCCGGGCCTCCGCCTCGCGCGCCGATGCGGCTCCGTTTATGATGCTCCCTCAAACCTCAGCTCTGAATCCCTGGCTATGATAGTAGCCTAAGCTTTTGAGAATGAGTTTGAAGATCCCTAGATGCTGGCTTGACTGTTCGTACAGTTATGTATGCATTCCCAGGATTTGAAGGTAACCGCGTGAGCAGTCAAGCTCTATTATCTAAGGATCACCAGACACATTTTTAGTATTTTATTTGTTTTTGTTTTATTGCACTGTTTGTAAACTTGGCAAAGTCAGCAAAGACTGTAGCTGATCCGCCGTTTACAATGTCTTAGATGGAAGCCCTGCGCAGGTCCTCACAAAGTTTCTTTTGGAAATTCGTAATTTTTGACGGCGCAAACATTTGAAAATTCGTTAGTCAAGACGGCGCAAATATTTGAAAATTTTGGTTCGAAAATTCACTATTCGCGACAGCGCAAATATTTGCAATTTGCGAATAGTGCGCGAGTCAGGTGAAGCGAATATTCACACAGCCCTACTTAAATCGTCAAGTTCTGAAAACAGTGTAGCTCATCTGCTCAAACACTCACTGGTGTAGTCAGTCACTTATGTAGAATATTCCCTGTGTCAGTTTTAATTTATCAATTTTTTTCTCCTTTTTCTTTTGCAGAAATGCAAGGAGTCCTAGCAGGTCTCCTACAAAGTCATGGCTGGAGAGGTCTGTGGAGAGGTTTAGGACCAACTTTGCTGAGGGATGTTCCTTTTTCAGGTTTGATTTTTGCCACTGAATTTTGTTCATTTTCGATCAAGGATTTACCTTGTTTGACCAAGATTTGTGACACCATGAAAAGTCGTCAAATATTGATTGCCAAAGGCCGAAAGTGTTTTACTTTAAATTGAGCCAATTTTTCTTCTTTTCTTTCTTTTTTAAAAATGAAAACTGAAGAATATTTCAAGCTGAACTTTTTGCTGTTCACTCCCCACTTACCGGACAAAATTCTCAGTTTATTTTAGATAGAAAATTTAGAGTAATTTTACTTTTAAAAAAACAAAAAAGGGAAAAAAGTAGGAATGGGTGTATGCGATGTCACTTTCATGACTTAACAACACCAGTAGATATCAATTAAAGAGCCCCTCATTTTTTAAAAAGAATTTCATTTTCATTCCATTTGTCTATTTTCAGGTATTTATTGGGTCTCGTATGAAACTTTCAAATCTTCAACCAACAGTAAATCTCCATCATTTCTGAACTCCTTCCTTGGTGGCAGCATAAGTGGAACTGTGAGTTTTAAGATCTTTTATTTTATTGAGTTCTCAACAAGAATTCCTCAAAATAATGTTACATATCAAAAAAGGACTTTGCTTCGCAGGTTGTCAGATATGAATGGTCAAAGTGCCAAGCCACGTATCTCTGTTTGCGACGATACAGACTCGCTATCATACTCTATTTTTTCCTCAGATAACTGGTCGACTCAATTTCTTCATAACTTCTTGGACTTTTTTTCTGTGTTATAAGAATATTCTGTTTAAATTTTAAGCCATTAAGTTGGCTTTTTTCCTCTCCGAAAAAGTAAAATAGAAGCGGAAATTTTGAAACTCTGCAATAAAGTACGTAGTTTTGCACTTCGGCTCATCAGGGGCCAAAATCCTCTGATTTGAAATTGGTTTTTCTGGCCACCTAGGTTTTTGTTGATTTTTATAATTTTCGATTGTTTTATTTTTGTCCGATTGATTATGGCTGCGTAATTAGCCGTAACGCTTTGGGCCCCCCCCCCCCCAGAAGCTTTCTTTCCTTCATTTCAGCATTTTTATTCATCTTACGGTTTTTTTACTCTGGCTTTTACCAATTTTCGACAGTAGAATTTCTATATTTATCAAAAACAATTGGTTTTAGCTGGTCATCAAATTCCTCAGGGAAATTAATTGCTGTCTACTACAATCTGTAAAATTGTTACCAAGAACTCTGTTTCTCTGGCCAACTAGGTTTTTGTTGATTTTTATAATTTTCGTTTGTTTTATTTTTGTCTGATTGATTATGGCTGTGTAATTGGCTGAAACGCTTTGGGTCCCCCCCCCCTCTAGAAGCTTTGTTTCCTTCATTTCAGCATTTTTATTCATCTTATGGTATGGGTCATGGGCTGTTCATAGTTTCCATCATCCTCATTGCCAGAATATTTTAATCGTTTAATTTGAAAATAGATCAACAATAATTTTTGTGAATTAGTTTCCTAATTTTTTTACTATGATTCCAGATTGCGGCCATCATAACTACGCCATTCGATGTTGCCAAAACATACAAGCAGATAGATTTAATGGACAGTAAGTATTTTTTGCCTTGTTCACAAAACTCTAATTGTTACTGTACAGGGATAGAAATTTTCGTGCATGAAGTGAAAATTCTCAATAGAGCGTGATTTGTGAAGTAAGATTGCAAATTTTGGGTCTAGGCAGAAAGCGCTCAAGTATTCTGTAGAATTAGATGCGCTCTGTGGGTTGAATATTAAAATTGAACCATCTCAAGTAAGTAAGGCGTGTCAAAATATTTATCGTCTATTTCTGTCGGTAATTTATATACTACCATTTTTTCAGAAATTATAGCTTTTCTTGGGTGCAGAAATGTCAATTAAATAAATAAAACTTTTTTAAGCAGTGGCAGTAATTATACAAAGGGACTTTGTCCTTCTAGGCTAGGAAAAATTGAAAAAAATCAATTTCAATCATTTTTGCTCAAGAGATTTTGTTTCCAACAGAGTCTGCGGTGGCCTTGAGAACCTGGAATGTTTGGGAATTTATGGCATTCGAGTCAGGGATTTTTGCGAGTAGCGTCTCTGTCGACTCAGCAATTTCAGCCAGTGCCATTCAAAAGAGCAAGAATAACTTCTGAGTGCTGTTTTGTATAATTTGAATCAGAATTTGGATTTCGTAGCAAGTGTAGCAAAAGTCAGGATAATCAAAAGGAAAGAAATGTTACTGGAAGTTTTATTCAATGGTTAAAGCATTCGGAAAGTTTGGAGTTGTAGGAAAGCCTAAAACGTCAGAAAATTGAAAACACCAAAATTATGGAGTGTCTGCAAGGACGCTCAAATTTTTGTTTCTTGTCTGAAATGCTAACATTTTTTTTTCCAGATGGTCCCAAATATGTATCTACTGTTTCAATCTTAAAATCAATCTACCAGTCTAGCGGTGTGCGTGGCTTATTCATGGGTCTCATTCCTCGAGTTGTGAAAGTCGCGCCAGCATGCGCAATTATGGTCGCTTTCTTTGAGTACGGGAAGAACTTCTTTCAAAATCACAACATGAACCAGTACAAACTCTCTAGGGGGCTAGCACTAGAGGCAGAATCGATGGATTGAAACTCTGTTTCCTATCTCTTGTTGCGATAAATTTTTGTTTACAGTTTGTGGACTGAATCATCGTGATGAGTCTACTTAGGTCTGTATAAGGTTAGATACTGGTGCATCTTAAGCGTAATTAAATCAACGTTTGTTGACAGCAATTGATGCGAGTCTGTGAGAACAGAAAAATTCACTGAAAAAAGAATTTCTGTGATTGAATATCTTTACTTTTGAATCAGTGAAGTGATATCAATGAGACATACACTTGTGAAGTGAAATTTTAGCTGCAATTGTTTGGGTAGCTTACAAAAAAGCTAGGAAAAACATAAATATTCTAGATTTTGAGATTTATAAAATTTTGAGGGCATGTGCTCTGTCTTTTTCAGAAAGTTTTCCTTCTTTCTAATAATTTTGTCCAGGGCCCGAATTTTGTTGGTAGGTTTGCAGTTAGCCACAAATGGGGCTGTTGCGCATTTTCTTTTCAATCATTTTTGTAAAATACATGAAAAGTGAAGAATCCCGAATTTTACCTTTTCTTCATTTAATTAAATTTTAAGTGGGAAAACGACTTCCTAAGTTGCTGAAAGTTCAACTTCACTCTAAACAGAAAAATATCGCGCCAACAGATTTTGTGATGTCCCAAGGATCATTAACCGTCATGATCCTTTCACCTGCGATTGTTTATATACATTCCGGTTGTGTAGTGGCCACGATACATTAGATTCACTGTGGTTGAAACTATGGGTTGTCCGCCTTTTATGACATAATAAGGAGAAAGCCAATGAGAAATGTTCCTCTTTCCACCACAACTTCAAGCTCCTTTTTGTCAGTCAAAAAAGCTATCTCAAGCTTTTTTAAACTCCTTGTTGTGTTCCTTGCTAAAATTTACATAAACAGCATCTTTTTACTATCAATTCCAGGATCATGCAAGGAGGCAAAAACGTTGACTTTCTTGCACCGTACCGCTTTAGTTTAGAGTATGATTTTCACAACTTTTAGTCGAATTTTGAGGTCGCTGTAGGCGCTTCAACTGAAGCAAAAGCCAATAAAGTACTGTAAGAATTTAGAGGTTAGGTTTTGCAATTTATGGTCAAGCTCAGCCGTTGAGCTCAGCTGTCACAGTTCGGACTCAAACCCATCTGTTACTGTGCACCAAAATTTTTTCAACATTTTTGCTACTCAAGGATGCAGAAACTCCCAAAATTCTGACCTCAAGCCGTAATTCGGCTCTTTTCTACCCTGATATTCTTATATTCTTCAGAAAGAAAGTAGAAATTCTCTCAAATCCTCCAAATTCTTACCCAAATTTACCAATTTTCTGTATTTTATCAAACCCTCAAAAGAAGGAAAACTTGTGCTCTTTTCCTTGTGGTATTTTTGTCGCATTTTTTTGGGAAAGTTAGCTTTCTATGGCCAAAATTGTCTCTCCACGTGTTCTCAAAGCAAATCCTAAAAAATTGCTGTGAATTGGCACTAATTTTATGAAAAACCCATAAAATAAGGAAACCTAACTTCCCAAGCTTTAAGGTGATCACCTGAAATTACGTAAGAACCTCAACAGTATGAGTATAAACTGTCGAAAATTTAAATGGAAGCTAGTCTGAAGTATGTTTTGTTTTTTATTGTTATTAGGTACGAGAATTTTCTTTGTTAGTTGAAACTTCCGGTGCAAGGAGGAGGCAATTGACACTTTTGGAAAAATAGAGGTCTCCATGAATTTAAGCTACATTCATTTAGATTTTGAAGTAAATTTTGCCCTAAAAATGGACCACTTTATCACTAGATAAGGTACGAATTCCAGCATTTTGATATCCTCTTTCTCATAAAATTGCACATGGAACACAAAACTAATTCCTAACTAAGATATTAAAAAAAAAAATTCGTGCGTAATTTCGTGCGTAAATTCAACCCTCCTTCTTACAGAGAAAACAATAATCTACTTAAGTTAATTGCACACTAAATGTTACCATGATAGTCTCTGTAGTAAGAAAATATGACAACCTCAACCTCAGTGTTTCGGCTCAGCTGTTGCACATAATTTGCCCTTTGAATAACACAGGACGGAGGAGGAACACTGCTCAATTGAAGAGCCTAGCAAAACCGTTGCGCAATTTAACTCACATAGACTCTGGTTTTTCATGTGAGCGGGAAATTCAAATTTTTTGCAATCAATGCCAAATAAAAACTTTATTATTTTGGTCTGGTTATTATTAATATCTGTTACTTTCGTTGCGCAATCGTTTTCTACATGAAATTTTAAGGAGGAAAGGTATTGCTTAAATTCGCATCTCGTATAGTGGCCCATTGACCTGTTGAACTTTACTTTCAGCCCTGGGACATTTAACTTTCTTCTAGTCTTGAGACAAAGTTCATTTCAAACTTTGCACTGGTCTATCGCAAAATCGCTAAAGTGTCACTCATCTCCCAGCACCAGAGGCTTCGATCAAGATAGGTGCTCTCACTTCGGTAATTTGATTTATTTTTTAGGGTTTGCACTATTTCACAGATTCTCATTATGTTATAGAATAGGTTTTTTGCAGTTTTTTTTTCCTTTTTGGTCATTTCGATGAAGATTTTTTGATGACCACTCGATTTTTGTTTTGCAAACAAAGGTGTTGAATTTTATACTGTGAAAGATATGAAAATCTCTATAAGTGTTTAAATCCATTTATTTTTTGAGTCCATCTCTATGTGCTGTGTTACATTTTTCTTTATCCTCTCTTCCAGCACGTATCTTCATTTTAGATTGGAAGTCGGAGGTAGAAAAATACTGAATGTAACGCGATTTTCAACTTTCCTGTCAAAACAGATAGTTACTTTGCCCAAGTAACAACAGAATTTTCTAGCAACTTTTTTATATTTGAGAGAACAAAGAAAACTCAAGGATGGAGGAAAAAACCTTTTTTCTTTAGTGGTGAAACCATTGTAATGACTCTGATCTCAGGACCTAAGCTCTTTTAAATATCCATAATCTCCAGGTCTCAAAGAGTTCTAATGAATTTCCAGATTTTGGACACAGCAATTTTCATTACTTCCTTAAGCATTGTTTTTTCACAATACTTTTCTCCTGTTTCATGAGCGAGGATAAAAATAGAAATGATAGATAGAAATGATTGCAGAATAGCATTAGTATTTTCTTTGCTTACGTTTTCTTCCCTTCTTCGGTGTATCACATCACGGAGGAAACAATATTGCTTACGTTGCACTCTTACAATCAAGACTATGAGCTCTCGGGGTTTTTCTAGGTCTTGTATGAATAATTTAGATACCTCTATCCTGCATTGTCTGAAACTTTGCAGGAACTGCACAACTAAAGGGATTCCAAAACTGACCTCCTGTTTGCTATTAGCAAAAAAAAAAATTTCACTAATAGCAAAATTTTTTGAATGCCATGCCGGTGATATTTTCCCTTAGTTTCCTTTAAGTACTTTAGTGTCAGTTGGATGACTGGACTACATTTTGCAATAAGGAACTATAATTTCTGGCTCAGTTTGGAAACAACGTATGTGCCTTTAGTTTCCCTAAATGACACAAGTGTTTTTATGGATGCGTCAAAAATTGTAGTTCCTGATTGCAAAACGTAGTCCAATTGTACCCCGTCTTGCTTCCCTGCAACAGGCAACGCTGCTTCTGTCTCGGAACTCGAGTTGAATTCCATAATTTACACACAATTTTTAAGCCCCGACATTGCTATGTATACTTTCCTCTTGTTTTGAACAATTTTTGTGCGTACATATTTAGATGCTTCTTATGTTAATTGAGTGTCAATGCCGCACTACATATTTATTTTTATAGTCAAAAAATAAATCTCAATCCATCAGGTCAAACGTTTCTAACTCTTTTATCCCTTTTTCCTCTTTATCTGTTCATCACTAGTCAAGTAAAAATTCACCCATTGAGAACGAGCATAGCAATTTTTTAATCATTTCGAGTAATCAGTCCTGTGGCTCAAATAATCAAGAAAATCGTGTCATTATTCTGGGATCAACTTAAAGGCTGAATCTTTTTTTCTGTCAAAAAATTAAAGTAAAAAATTTCTTGTCAAGTACAGAAAGTGTTAGCGACAATTACTTTATTTTTGTGATTTTTTTTTTTTTTTTTTTTTTTTTTTTTTTTTTTGTCCTTTGATTCTCAATAATAACACAGGGCAATAAAACGTTCTCCTTCTTAGGGTGGTTACACATTGATTGCATTTAGCATAAATGAAACCAACGTAATTACAGTGTTGTTGAAATATTGCTTCTTCAAAACTATCTTAAAAAAATCTCCTAAAATAGCGAATAGTTTTTGCATCCCACCAAAAAATTGCTAATTTTAAATGGAAATAATTGTGTAAAATTTAATACTGTACATATATTCAGTATTTTTAAAAGAAAAAAAATTTGCACGATTTTGAAAACACTGTAATCACGCTGGTTCCTTTTTGCTGAATGCAATCCACATTACTGATTACCAAAAGAGATGAAATCATAGGACAATCAATTTGACAGATATGAGTTCATCGAAGAAATGCAGTGCAATGTTACCAAAACTTTCTTTTAAAAAAAAGAATTCTGACGGTTATTGTTGGCACAAAAAAATTTAAGTTATGCTACACAACCCTGTTAGTTAAGATCACAACCCTAAAAACCTCTTTGATGACCCTTAATTAAAGTTTCACGGAGGAAACAGATTGTACACTTAAAGCAACATTGCAACACATTTTTGAGACTTGGTCAAATTTAGGACTGAAAAAAGAGATCATGGTAATGTTAACAGGGTTATATTTAAACTTACAAAAAATTCGTACTACGAAATATCATGATAAACCTAGAAGTATATTGTACACAAAAATCGCGTATAACATAAGATGGGCACTTAATGTATTCAAAAACACGACTAACTCACTGGCTACGAATTTGGCTGCCTCTCGTTGAAAATTCAATGATGCTTTTCTGCTACGTAGAACCCAGATTTATCAAGACCAAACAAAGAAACTAAATGAAAATAGAAAAATGAACAAAAAATATCATGTCAACAAAAATGAAAACTTGTTTGGTCTGAATTTGGATGGATACAACATTCAGGGTGAAAAATACGGTTGGTGCGTCTTAAAATTTCTTGGATGCAGAGCCTTCAAATGGAGCATCAAAGACAGTGAGCTAGCCAATATACGAGCAAGATTTGTGTAGTATCACCAAATATCAACACTCAACAACTGACCGCAAGATAAACCTAATTTTGATCGAACGACAGGACTCATGGTTATCACAATTTCCAATTTCCCTCGGGAAAAACTTCTGACGTGTGAGACTCAGGCTACCAATTTTGTGCATCAAGTTATATCAATACAAAATGAGGTTGTATTTAAATCAGATGATAAAAAGAAAAATATTCAAAAGGTTCTTGACAACTGAAAAATAATGCATTTTTTGATCAGCAATATTCAACATCTAGGCTTAAAATTGTTAGCAGCAAATTTTCATTTGTGGACCATCTTCTCAATTCATCACTGATAAGAAAAGTTGTGCCACTGAAAATTGACCGATAGGTTTACCTTACAGTAGAAAACGCTTGGGATAATATTTACGCCATTCTAAAATGAATGTACGATTTGAGGTTGTGTTGATCTAACCAGCAGCAGTCGCAACCAATACAATTTTAGCCCAGAAATATACTTCATGCCAATTCAAAAAATTCTGTTCAAATTGTATGATATTTGTATTCATGCTCGGGAAAATACTAGTTTTTTTGCCTAATTACAGTCTAATTTTTGAGTGGGGCTTTCCATTTGCGCTTGTTGAAATTACTGGCAAAGATAGTTTCAATTAGCTATAGGTACAAATGGAAAATTTACAACAGGCATCGTTTTTTTACAATGAAAATGACACTAATTGAAAAACCTTCATAAAGAAATTGTTCTGAAGTTCTCGAAGTGGTTGTTGATTGAAGATCATCTATTAATACACAATATCTTAAGATATGAATGAATTTCATACGTACAATTAATACAAACAAGATAGGAGTTGAAGGTGCTTGAAAATAAAATAAGAAACTTGACTCCAAAATGCAGTGAATGGTAGGATTCTTGAAGAATACAAACCATCCGTAATTTCTAGAGAACTGTAATTCAGACTGTAATGTGCTATTTGCCGGAATTATGGAGTGAAATTTTACTGATTACTTCAATCGTTACGATCAAAAATAAAACTCCTTTCTTCTTAAATGATATTCTTTACAAGCATTGTGCCCAGCCTTATGAGTCTACAACAACACTGCCAAGATTAGGAAAAACGCCGAATGAACATTCGAAGGTTGCCAGGTATCTCGATGTAAAATGTTTATTCTGGAGGATTCCTGAGAATCTTTCCTTAAAATTTTCAGAATCTTTAGATTAGATTGCGAATAAAATCCTAAAAAAATTTGACGAAAAACATTCCACGATTTCCCTAAAAATCCGTATTTCATCACAGGGAATTTGGCAACGCCCGAGGGGTCATACGGCGTCTTCCCTCAACCTGGCGAAATTCAGCAGTAACGAGAACCATACACGGATTGATAGCCAGTACTCCGTTCATAATTAAAAATATGAATACAAAAAATGTGCACTGTGAAGCTTGACACAAAATGTTAAAATCGAGTAGGATTAGAAAAATTGTGAATTCTTGAAATTAAAGAGTCTCAAGGTGATTGCTTAGTGCCATCTTATTTTGATTGACCTTTGTGAAAAGATATTTAAATTACCTTCCTGAGCTAACGCAAGGATGGTTTTGGAGAGAGGTTCTAATTGTTGGACAGAGATAAGGAGTGATGCTGCATGCTTCCATTTGAAATATTTGACTACATGCTGCAATAAGGAACTACTATTTCTCGTTATTGTTGGGAACAATATACGTAGCAATAAGTTTCCTTATGCATGTAGGTGCTTCTACAAAGGTCTTCAGGTATATGAGTTCAGAATTTCTGAGGCTTTGATGAAACTAGATATGAGCCGAACGAGAGTTTAAATTCACTTCAAAAGAGGAGCTAAACACCTTGTTCAATCGGAATTTACCAGTTACGATCTTGAGATGAATGTAGTAATTTCAAAGAAAAACCTAACTGTAAAAACTTACAGCTGTGGAACATCATCCAAAACTTCAAAAAATGAAACGACAATCTCAAAAGCAGACAACAGTTGCCATACGGAATTATGTTCGCTTCATACTTTTAAAGGTACATATATCTTGTATATATCATGGCACGCAATATGTACTTGCGATAATATTTGTGGCTATCTCGAAAACACTGCAAAAAACGTTGAAAGCCAGCACAAATGAAAATCTCAAGGGTGCTGCGGTTGTGTACGAGATTCAAATTTCGACACTATATTGGAGAAAAAATGAAAAACTAGAACAGACGGGNGGGGGGGGGGGAGAACTAGAAACAAACAACAAAAACGGACGTCCTGAGAGTCTTTTGTTCGGGGAATTTTTTTTCCTTGGTTGAGCCCTCGTTTTACCGAACACAAATTCACTTGGCTGTAGCAGTTGTCGAGTGATTATTTTGAGCCTCCAAGTTCTCCTGTACACATTTCTTGAAGTTCATTTGAGGGATGAACTTCAAAAGAACCTAGTATAACTTAATTTTTAAAATCTACTCTTAGGCCAGTTAGAACTTTCTTGATTCAAAATTTTAAGGAACAAACTTCACGAATTTTGCACTAACCATGGTCTAAACGGAAGAGGCACAGTAAAATTGCTCTTAAAAGTAAACTTGCGATGAGTTCTTCATCGGTTACACACCTTGGGAAAAAAATTTCAGAGGGAATCAGACTCAAATATTTGAATATGATCAATTTGCAATAAATCCGTTTGATAGAGAGTCTCACCAGGGGACCTAACTTCAAAAATATCTCAAAAAATGAACTAAAATTGTCCTAAATTGCTTTAGAAAAGAGTTGAAATTTCACTTTAATGAGGACTCACTGCCTGTCCTATACCACCCCTTCCTCATCATGAAGCCTATGAGTCTCGCTGCTCTTGTGGCAATATTTTTATAAAAAAGTTTGACAAATTCGTAAAATTCGAAGCGGAAGAACTCTTTCAAAAATAGATATTAAACATACAAAATAGGAAACCCTTTGTAGTTTCCTTCATGTAAAAGTACCATTTAACAAGTTAAGGAAGTTTTTACGACTGCATTTCAGTTAATTAACAAGAGTTGACACGGCTTGTTAATTGTTGTGCATTATTACTTTGATTTCAGTTCTGTATCAATAGGAACGATTTAAAGGATTTAATGTCATTCTGATACCAACTTCTTTCATGTAAATTTGTGGAGCATCCATATTATGCAACAAAAAAAATTCCTAGAAGGCTTTCCTTTTTCATGCATTTTAACAGTTTATATTGGGATTATTACTTTTCAATGTCTTCAAAATCAGGAGTCTAAGCGACTGGGGGAAAATAAAAAGTGGATCTGATACTTTTCACAGCGGAGATGCGAAAAAGCTATGGACTGATTTGTTAAGAAAGCTGATTTACCGATGGTTAATCTTGAAAAAAGGAATATGTCTTCTATTAATTGTGGGTGGAGGAGACTACTTGGAGAGAGGGGAGAACCACAGCAGAGCTCGGTCTACACTTTCCTTCCTCTCTCTACGCATAAGATTCCAGAGGAAAATAGAATTGCCGAACAAGGATGAAACTGGGTAACTTCTTGTTTCCGGGGAAATTTGAGTTCTGAACTTTGAGTCTTGTAAATCTTCAAAAACTGGATTCAGTCTCAGTGCATTGGTGCGATCCAGAGCGCAGGCCCATTTCAAGGAACCGTCAGCAATGGAACTGGAATTCTGACTTTTGAACTCGAATGAAAGTATGGCAAAATCATACAAACTTAAAAATAATACGAAAATAACATACAATAAATATCTTATGCTTCCGAAGTGATATCTGATGCTGATGGAGAATTCCTTTTGTAAGTCTTCCGGACTATTTTTTCACTTTAGTAAACAAATAGTAAGAAAATACATGTACAATATATATGAATATGTAAAAATGCGTCCTGTTACATACTCATATATATATATAAAACTATAAAAATAAAAGAATAACAATATAAATTCTACACAATATAGTTAATATTGGAAAAGATTTTACAAACGTACAATTATAAATATAATATATACCAGAAGTCCCCCAACGATTCATTTGAGAAGAGTAACGTGAGCGAATGCTGCGATACTGTACCTCGTCTCATAGTTTTCAGCGGGCGGCTCAAAAGCAGGTCCTGATAAAGGATGACAGTGAGCGATGGTGCGATATTGTAATGATCATTTAAGTTGATCTTATTCACCTTTAAAAATGCAAGAAGTTAAAGATCTGTGGGATTGGGGTTGTGGAAGTGTTTATACAGGATGTAGCTCCTCGAAAGCGATGGTCAATTTCAAATAGTTCAATGTCCTGTGAAAGAGAGAACCAAAAACAAGTCTAAATACAAGGGTACTGTAGGCTGTTGTTCATCAGACCGAGTTCATCAGAAAAAACCAACCTAAATTAAGTTGAAACTGAGACAAAGAGGTTTAAAGTTTCATTCCTACATTAATATCAATGTAAAATAAAAACTTGAACACCTCTTTTCACAAAATGTCGTTTGTTTTAGACTCTCAATTTTGGCAGGAGAAAATATATGGCTAGTGAAATTCAAAAACATCCTTAACTCGATTTTTTCGAAAATGTGGGTTGGTTCATTTCTGATAAACTCAGTCCAAGTGTCTCTCTTATTCCTTTTGAGCGGCACAGCAAAATAAGCTTTCTTCGATCACTGATTTCATGTTTCAATATTTTCCCTAAAAAATGTTTGTTCAGGTGCTTCAAAATCTTTTATTCAGCCCCTTTTTCTTGAAAATCAGCACATAGAAAGTTCAATAAAGACGCTTAGCGCACTCAGGAGACTGTAAAGAATTTCATAGTAAATGATAAAACAAATTTGGCTGAGACAGAATCCTCTGGTTCTAAGTACAGGGTCCTTCTTTATTTGCTTTGATAGTGGGTCAATGGCATTCACATTTTTAAAATCATGTTCACAAAGGACAGAGTAAACTAAGCTTCTGGGAATTTTTCAGATTTTTTTAACCTTAAATGGCAAAGAAAACCCGTTTTGAAACTGCCAAAAGTGGGGCTAGTATGAAATGATATTTTTGGTGAGCTCTAATGACGTAGTCAGGCAGGGAGACCATAGTGTCTACCAGTTGTAAAAAACCAAAATTGGGGACTTTTAGGGGTGCTTTTTCAAGAAAATTGGAGACCCCCCCCCCCCAAATACTAAGAGAAAGGGAGCTGGTTAAAGCGTTAAAAGTCGTATTTTATACGATTAATTTTACTAATCATGTTGAACCAATGAAAACATACGAAAAACCAAGCAACACTTCAGTTTCTTTTATTCCTGGTTATACCGTGCTGCCGAAAATTTAAACAAGTAGCAAAAGCTACCTGCTGAGGGGGCGCCGCCCCCCCAGACCCCCCCTTTCAAATTATATATGTGAGACTTTGAGTATCATAGAAGTCGTGCGGCGACATGCCGAATGAAATGCCACAATTAAAATTATTGGATCAGATGATGAGCTGATAAAAGCCTTACCCAGTAATTTGGGAACATTTCTGACACAGTTTGGTTGCTTTAACTATCACTTTGATTTGCGAAATACAAATCGTTTTCACTTCGTATG